AACTAATTATTATTTCAGTTCAATAGATTTAGGTTAGTTTTGTACTGTTATTTTCTAGTTGTAGATTTAGTTCATGCTGTTATCAGGTTTTGGTAGGTAGATTTAGGTATTTTCTAAACCTACAGGTTTTTTTCAATTCAACTGTACTGTTTATAATTTATAAATCCTTATTTTTCATAGATTATTTATTTCATATTAATATTGATGATTATATTAACATTAACGTGTTCCCATTGATAACTTATAGAATTTTTAAATTACACAGTGATAGGCAACACTAGTCATATCTTCTTTAGGTATAACTTGTTATTAAATTTATTTCAGGAGAATGCAACTCAAGATCTGGTAAAATTAAATAATTAATTTCAAATAAATATAATGTTGATCACTATGTAAAATTTCAATTATTGTTATCCAAACTTCCATTTTTACTTTCTAGAACTCAAAATTAGAAAGTTTTGCCTAGTACTTTCTCATGTTCCTAATATAAGTTATTCTCAATTACTTGCCTGTATTAAGAAAAGCTAGTTGCGTTGATAAATTGTCTAGATATTACTTTGATTTTTATCCTAACCTTAATAAATTTACAGATTAGAAATTACCTATATACATTTTTAAAATGAAACAATTAATTGTTCATGAATAATCTCTTAATCCTAATTGGGGAATATTATTTGTTCTAACTATAGAGCGGACTCTGGGGGGAAAAAAATTACAATGAGATCCCAATAAAAAAATTAATTACAAAATAAGTCCTGTTGTTATTTTTTGTTTGAATCTTATCATTACAGGTTGTTTAAGTTGTTATTGAGATTTTTTAAAAATTATTTTTCTTCTTAGAATTTCATTATAGTTCTCCCTAAAAAAAACTCTAGAGTGTAGATAAATGAATCAAATTTTGATAGCTGGAATTAATTAATATATTCTCCTCTGATTTTATTTATAAGTTATTTTCAACATATTTCACTAAGATCAAAAAAACTTTAAACCTCATTAACTCTCATTTAAAATTCAATAACTTTCAATTTTATCAATATTTAATATATATTATATCTCATAAAAATAAAATTAATATAATAATAAATAAAAGGTAAAATTTTATATTTATATCAAAAATTCCTCTCTCTACTCTAAGACTAAACTTTTTTTCTGCTTTGTAAATAATATAAATATGGCCAAGGAGCAATGGTTTAAAAAAATAGTCGGTTTATCTCGGTGCGCAAACTTCACTTTCCTTTTTACGGCTAGTCCGAGTTGTGCTAACGTACGATCCATTTAAAGTGGGGGCAATTGGTCAACCCGCATGGTCAGTGACATTTTACTGTTACCGTGGGGGGTCCCGCACTCTATAGTTTCCTCCCTTTCCTAGTGGGACTCACACCTAGAGATAAAGTGCAACACGTGTCAGTCACTTGGGCGTAGTGGCACGTGCTGCCCACTGAATTCCCTATGTTTAGCGTTCAACAAAATCTGCTCCCACTTACCTTTGTTTTTTCGCCGATAATGTCATGTTTTTCTGTTCATCTCCACAGTCTTTCCCAGACGCAGTTATCGGGCGCGTGGAGAGCGTGCCGCTGCGACAAAGTAATGTGCGAAAGGAGGCAGGGAGGTTGTGTGCTGTGAGCATCTGATTGGACCACATACTCTACTCAGACTCAGCTTTTGCACTCAGCAACCGAAGGCGGATTGCACCACCCACATCACCCATTTTCTTAGGATATTTTTGATATAAAACAAAGCTACTTACGTTTATGTTTATTACCTCCAGTTTTATTTTTAAAATATTTATTTAATTATAAATTAATATGAAAAAAGACATATGATGATCTATAATTAAAAAAATTGACATAAAAAATATAAAAAACTCGATGTAAGTATTATCCTTTAACATCATATATAAAAGTATCAATTCCAATCTCTGCTAAGATATGTGCTTTTATACATGGCTTGAGTTGCAAATTTATCCATAAAATATTTTGTCATGGAAATTTAATATCATAAGCTTTTCTTAAAGTATATTCCTCTGGTCTTATTTATAAGGTAGAAAGAAAAGAAATTTTTTTTTGTCCTATTTATAGAGCACTGAAATTTTTTTTGTATTGATGTATAATTTTATTCTTTATTTATTATTGTGTTGACTTTTTTATATGAGGTATAATATATATTAAATAGGGATGAAATTGGAAAGTTGTTAAATTTTAAATGAAAGTTAATGAAATTTAATGTTTTTCTTGATATGTATAAAACATGTTAGAACTGACTTATAAATAGGATTAGAGGAGCATATGAAGTTTTTAAAATGGTATGAAAATGCAATAGTTGTTAACTCAATTAATGTTAACCATTTAAAAAATATATAAGTTAAGAAGATTATGCTAAAATACAAATGAAGTTTTCAAAATAATACAAAAATATCCTGACTATTGGAAACTTTACATGTATTTTCGTACCATTTTGGCAAATTTTGTGAGGAGCAATAATTCATTATCCAAGTTAAGATCTTCCACAAAAATAAGAGATGAAAAATCTTTTGATGAGGAAGTCAGAATTTTAATTAAAAAAAAACTCTCTTAAACATGTATAATTAGTAACTTCTTTTTTTAGGAGCGGGTCATGCATTCAATTAAAAAAGGGGGAAAACAGTAGACATTGTTTCGTTGAAAATAAGATATAATTAGGTAAGAAGTAGAATTGAAGTGAGACTAAATTGAAGCATGTGGTTTTGACTAATTTGATCATGGGATGAACAGATATTGTTGGGAATGGATTGAGTTCAGTGAAAGCAACGGCAGATAGAAATATGGATTCTAGAACAAGGGAAGTAAGGGGGAATATAAATACTACCTCCGTTCCTAATTATAAGACCCAGTTGACTTATTTGAGGAGATTAAGGAAGTAAGTTAAGTTAGTTATTTGTAACAAATAAGTGTTGTCATTCCTAAAATATCCTTACTAATTAAGTGTATTGGCTAGAACTATCATTATTATAAGGACTATCTTGGGAAAAAATACATAAATATGAGAGATAAAATGGATTGGGGTCTTATAATTAGGACCAAACAAAAAGTCAAACAGGGTCTTATATTAAGGACCGGAGGTAATATATATATATATGTATATATATATATATATATATATATATAAGTGGGAAGGAATGGAATTACTTAAAGTCATAGCTTTGTTGGGAGGGTTGAAGACACAGCAAGAGGGATATGCCTGTTTGGATGGGGACAAAATGGTGATCTGTATTATTTCCCTGTTTGATTTCATGTTGTGTTGTTCATTGAACTTCAATTCATCTCTCTCTCTCTCTCTCACATTCATTGAAAGCTTCTCATGATTTGGACACTTCACCTACGATCATTATATGTTCTTCCACAAAGCAAACGGATATGGAGGAGCAAAAAGTGTTTTCAATAAATAAATTAAATTACATCTCCTTTCAAAAAGCAAGGGATATGGAAAAGAAAAATGTTTTCGATAAATAAACTAATAAAAAAAATAATTATTTGGTCCTTATAGGTTTGACATGACTATATATGAATATTAATTTGGCGCAACTTAATTCTTATAGTTTTGATTTAATCAAAACTTAATTTCTAATTTTTTTATTTAGTGTAACTCAGTCTTTATAATTTTGATTTAGTTAAAACTCAATTTCTACATTTTTTTTATGAACTCAGTTTCTACACTTTAATTCAACATAACTTAGTTAATTCCTGCATTTTAGAAAATAAAATTATAAGCACTAAAATTATTTTTAAAAACTCAAGGATTAATATTTTACATGAGTAAAATTATAAGGAACGAATTGTATTGAATTAAAATTCAAGTATTGAGTCTCAATCTAATCAAAACTAGAAGAACTGAGTCATATAAGTTAAAATTCATTCTTGAATTATAACCCATGGGGACCAAACAATAAAATTCTACTCAAATTTATGGCCTCCCAAAAAATGAAAGACATACCTTTAGAGATCAATTTAAGACCAAATGCATTTTCAATTATATTATAGGACCAAAAAGTTGATTTTGATTTCAAATTTAACTTTGGACATGATCGTGCATTTATTAGTGATTAATTCATTTTTTAAGAACAAAATTATCTAGGTTTTTTTTTTTTTCCGATTTCCAATTTAACAACAAAGTTACAAGGAACTCAATTCTCGGCGGCCTTGACTAGTATTGCTTTTCAAAAGTTGATATTTAAAATGTAAAAGTGATGTTGGATGAAAACTTTATAAAAGTTATTGCACTAATAATCGGGTTTGGCAATTATCTCACGGAAATTGCCAAGGTGACATAAAGAATGTCAAAGATAAGCTATTGCCAATTACACACATTTATTAATACAAGCTTTTTCAGTCTACAAAAAATATGCAAGTCAAAAATTAATCACATCATAATAATATACTCCTTCGACCCTTAATATAAAACCTATTTAATTAATTTGATTAGATTCTGAAAATTAAATAAATTAGTTAATTATAAAAAATGTGACACATTTTTTTTAAAACACCATAATCATCTTTCTTAATACCCCTTCCCCTCTTCTATTGATTATGATTGAAAAAGTATTTATAAAGACAATTTAAAAAAAATTGATAAATATAAAAAAAAAATCTTATATTTAGAATTAAAACCTACTCAATAATTAGATCCTATATTAAAAACCGAAGGAGTAATATATATACAATCACGTTTTTCTTTTTTCCTTAGATGTCCTATACTTTATACGCATTTGCCTAATCAGACTAATGCACGCATCTATTAGGAAAATTCAAAGGCAATTCGCGTAAGTACTACACGGCCACGTTATGCCATACAATTGGAAACCATGTAGCTGATTTATTTTTTGGGACAGTAACTATTTAATTAATTTGAATAAAAAAATCCATTATTCCTTGAAAAGCATCAATTAACTGGAAGTCATCCAAAACACAACCACATATTGGACCCCACATTCCAGGGCTTAGGTTTTTTTTTTTTTTTGGGGGAAATTAAAATGCGGTACCAAGAATGAAAATAGTTGCCAACAGATAATTTTAGGGTTTAGGACTATAAGGCCTTAAAGATTTTTATGACAACATCATGGAAAACATGTCTGTGAACCTCTGCTAAATACCAGGTTCTTACCACTAGATAAGTAGAGGACAAAAAGCGAGAGCCACGTAGGACCAATCTACTTCTACCATCAAGAGTATTATTAGATTTGGACATAACAGAAGAAACTATCTCAAAATACATTTGTTATCAAATGGTATGGAGAGATCCATACCTTTTAACATCACAAATGGAAAACTCAAGCCTTCTAATCCACCAAAAAATGAAGTCTCCACTCAAAGGCCCTCAAAAAACCGCAAATGATCCTCAAATGTCTCTCCATGTCTGATTTTGGCCACTGTTCCATCATCGTCAACCTAAAATATTTTCCAAATAGCATATTAACCACAGGAAACAAATTATCTATGAGGGTTACAAAGATGTAATCTTTAGAGCTTAAAACCTCAAAAATCAGTGCTTTTAATTATAACGCTAACAACATTGGAGACAAGTCAAGAGTTCATCTAATGTTCACTTCCTCAGTAACATTAGTAGCCCAAGGAATACTAGATACTACCTCGGGTCCTTAATACAACTTCCAGTCCTTAACATAAAAACTACTACCTCTGATCTTAATCATAAGACATTGTTTGTAAACTACAAACAAAGTCTTTTAACTAGGACTGAAGATAGTATATAACTAATTTGAAGATATTAAGGAAATTAGTTAAAATTGGTTATTTGTTATAAATGTGTGTTGGTCTTCCTAAACTATCAACTTCAATCATTGGCACTGGATAATTGGAATTATCCCTTGTAGAAATCCCTTATAATTAATAGGGATATTTTGGAAAAAGATAGGGGACAAAATGAATTGAAATCTTATATTTAAGATCAAATCCGACCCCTCAGCTAGTTCTTATATTAATAACCGAAGATAGCATATGAGATTTGCTTAAATAATCTGAAAAAAAAAAAAGAAAATTAGTTAAATACGTGTTGGTTTTCTAAAATACCCTCATCATTTACATTGGTTTTCTAAAATATCCTCATTATTTGTATTGAAATTAGCCCTTGATGCAAACTCCGTTAACACACACATTCAAGAGGGATAGTTTGCGGGTAAAAAAAATGACAAGTTCACATGACAAAATGAATTGAAATTTCATATTTAGAATCAAATTTAACTCTCAACTAGCTCTTATATTAGGGATCGGAGGTAGTATTATAGTTTTATTTGAAATATATGAGTTAATACAAACTTTGATCTTTCAAATTTGTCCTCATTTTGGTTTTGATCTCTCAAGTTTCAAACCATAGGTTTTGGTTCCTCAAATTTCTTTTCATTTAAAATTTTAGTCCCTATAATCCAATAAAAACTTGGATCATTTTACTCTTAAGAGAGACCAAACCTATGGTTTGAAACTTGAGGGACCAAAGATTATATTGACCCGAAATATGTTTTATAATTATAAATATAATTTACACGTAAAACAGAACCATACCCAGTACTCAGGAGGCCGCATCTTAAGATTGTAGGTTGATGCCATGCTCATGCAGTAAGCACCAGCATCATGAACAACTAAACCGGCACCCTACAAAATGAAAGCAATTTATACAGATGAATTATGTTGGCATGAAGTACGATGACCATAACGTCCCGGTTGGGCAACACTATTTTTGCTTAACTAATTAATTGTGAGGTCAATTCATTACATTACCTTGGCTGGCGTTGGAAGTACTCTTTTTTTTCCTAAGAAATCTGCAGACTCACAAACAGGGCCAACCACATCAAAAGTTGCATTCTCAGCATCTTCTGGTGCAGGGGAAACCAGTTCTATATGCTGCAATTAAACAATGAAAAATCAATTCCAGAGTGGTATTTAAAGGAAAAATCAATTCCACATTTACAAAAAAGGAAGAAGAAAACATGTATGAAAATAAAAGACAGGATGGCAGAAGATGGCCATCACGAGTAATAGCTGGGGCCCACCGCCAAGGGCAGTTTGCGACCTCTTGATCGAACTTCCTAGTCTTGGGCGAAAAGCTATAGCGCATTCCATCATTTGCTTTAGAATGCCGTCTTTAGGAGCAATAAATAGAATACAAGAATTTTTTCTGTCTTCCTTTCCCTTAATATGCCCCCATAAAGCGGGAGTTCAGGATACAGGGATTTGAAGAATCAATGTGAAATCTATTGTGGCATTCCATCCAAGCTAAAAGTACATGCATCCAGAGGGCCAACAGTATTTAACCAGCCCTTCATGAGGAGGAGGAGCCATTGCACCAGAACATCTAATGAGAAACAAGCTACAGATTACACACCCACATCAGAATCAATGTGTTTGGTCATAAGTCATAAGAGGACTTGAATAATTACCTGGTAAGCATCATACAGACTAGGACGGATAAGTTCAGCCATACTTCCATCAATCACAATAAAATTTTTAGATCCATTAGTTTTGACCCCCGTCACCCTGTTAACTAAGCAACAAGTGTTTGCTATGAGTGATCTCCCAGGTTCAATGATGAGGTTAAGATCCCGTGAAAGGACAAGCTCCCGTACCTATACAATGGATTGATACGGTATTGAATTAGCAGGAAGATTTTTTAAGTAGGCAATGAAATTAAAAATAAATCTATTTTACTTCTCAAAAAGAATTTAACTATTGTCACTATGTCAGTCTCAGAAAAGACCTGATTTCATGGGAAGGTTGTCACATTATGCATTAACTAGAAATTTTAAGAAGTACCAGATCCTCTAACAGATCCTCTTCTATTTGCTAATTTAATAACACTCAAAGATGAGCTCAAAAATACATATACATATGCATGCACCTCACAGCACATATGGAGATAAGAAATAAGGAAATGGAGGGTTACTAACAAGAATGCAGCTTACGCTCTCACTTAGTAACCTATATGACTCATTCCCATTCACCAGGGAAGCATACATATGCATCAAGAGATGATGTTGATCATGTCCCTCAAAATTCCATCATCCGCATATTGTTGTAATATACGCACACAAGTAACAGTTCTTAAGCTAATTAACCACACATCCCTATATCAGAGCACATAGGATGCTGCCATCTAAATATGTGTATTGCAAAATTAAGTGTAACAATTTATCAATTAGTAGCCATTCCTTATTTCTTAAGAGTGGCAAACTTGATCATGCTAAGTACGGGGAGATGAGGAGAGATGTCAATGTTGAGTCCTCACAGTATCAATCAGATCTCTGGGTGTGGGAAGGACAGCGTCAGAATGATAATAATCTATCCCAAGTCCACCACCAATATTTAAATAATTAACTTCAAAACCCTGAGCTCGAATTTGGTCCATGTAGTTGACCATGATAACAGCAGCATCCCTGAAAATGTCCACCTGAGAGAAAAAAAGACGCAACATTGACTTCAATATTTATTCCAAACTAATATTTGGACTGAGATTGAGAAAGATATCCAGCGTTAAAACTAATGTGCAATGGTTACAGAAGAAAATAATGGTAAAAAGCACCCTGAATAACAAGATAACAGTTAAAATTGATTAAACAAATAAAATAATAATGACTAAAGTAACTTTTAGTCCACATTTATCTCATAATTTAATGTGGAGCACAGGGATGATGAAGAAACATACAGAAGTATTGTGGATATACCTTGGTAATTGTTGACCCAAGATGACAATGGGCCCCGACAAGCTTTAACTCATTAGGATGTTCCTTCACAACATCCAAAAACCATTGAAGCTTCTCATTTCTAATGCCAAATTTGGAGTTCTTGTTCCCAGTGGCAATATAAGGATGGACCTTAAAAATAACAAATGACCGATTTTTATGGCAAGAGTTCAGCATAATAAAAAACCTGAATTTGCAGAGTCAAATGACAGCTGGGAAAGCAGAAGTCTCAAGTTGGACCAGTAGCCATGGCCAAAAAAAAAAAAAAGTTGGACCAACAGTGTCTTCTACCCATGATATTCAGGTGTAACAAATGAACATGGTTTTGGGGAAACGGTTGTGAATTTAAAAAAAAAAAAGAAAAAAAGAAGAAGAAATAGCAACAAGAGAGTATCCATAATTATTAGAGGACTTTACCATGTAACAAATGTTTAGGTTATGTATTCATAACAATTTGTGGGAGAAAAGAATCATAGGAAAACAAATAGCTATCATGACAAATGTAGCTTTCGAATGCTTTACGCTGTTAAAATTATGAGCAAAGTGATGAATTTTCAGTCAAATGTTATCATAAATACACCAAACAAAAACTCAAATAGATGTGATGGTAAATACCAACTTTCAGTTCCAAGTTCCTAATAGAGTTAATCTGTTTCAGTCACATCAGTAACCATGCAGGATAATCTCATAATTCAAGAATCCTAGCCAAAGTGCAATATCTACTGAAAGCAAAGCCGAATATTTGGTTTGTTTCTGTAAAACTGAAAGTTTTGAGTCCTATGAAGAGGGATAGATGAAGACCAAAGAGAATGCGCAATGAAGTTTTTAAACGAGACTTGCTGGTTAACAATATATCCAAAGATTTAGTCATTGATATAATACAATAGTATCTTACGATCCATGAAGCCAATTCCACTTGGCTCCTATATCATACTAAACACAATCTATTTCAGTCACATCAATGTCCATGCAGGACATGCTTATTACTTAAGAATTGTAATAGCCAGACTACCACGTGCATTGAAAGCTAAGATTTATTGAATTTCAAGCAATCATCATTTCACCTCAGTCAGGTATTTATTAGCAATACTTGAGAAGAAATTAACATGTTATCAATAAAGGTTTAACAAACTACAGGCAGCATGCAACAATTCTTAATTACTCAGACAAAACTCTTCCAGTAAATACCTGTGGATCCACATTAGGATTAATCCTAAGTAAGACGTTAACCCTTTTACCAGCAATTCTTGCGGCTGCTATAATGTTTTCCAGGTCAAATTCACTGTCAATATTGACAAAAACACCTTCTTGAGCAGCTAGGACCAAATCCTCAAGGAGTTTTCCATTCCCGTTAAAGACACACCTATTCATCCATAAATCAAAAAAAACAGACTGAGAACCTCACACCTATAAGACCCAAAAAAACCATTAATTACTGAAGAATACCAAAGAAGATAATTCCTAAGCTGCGCAAAGCTGAGATGGCATTCTTGAACAGATAATTGGCAACAAGAAGATTCTAAAGAAGCACAGATAGATCAACATATCTACACACGCATTTATGGGTGCATTGTAATCCAACCTTGTGGGATCAAACCCAGCACGAAGAGCCAGCCTCAGCTCATTTCCACTAACAAGCACCGCTCCACAACCCAAATGCCTTAAATGTTCCAAAATCTTCAAATTATTGTTGGCCTTGATGGCATAACCAATAATAGACCTCAAGCCTTCCAAGGCCGATTTATAGGCTTCAACATTTCTAGTAATTTGAGGCTTACTGTACAAGTAGAAAGGACTTCTTTCAACTGATTCCATAACTTCCTGCACTTTAAGCCCCTCACAATATAGATATCCATCTTCAGACTTGGTGAAACAATGCTGAAACTGAGCTGTCTTAGGGTCCTGTATTGAAGTTTTACCAGTATTCTGGGACAGAACCGCTCTAAGAAGACGTGCTCTAGCAGAGGGTTTGAGGGCCAGAGTTGGGTTTTGGGCAAAACGGTTATGATTCAAATGGTAGTTTTGGGCTTTAGGAAGTGAAGCAGAAAAAGAAAAAAGGTGTGTGGTTGCCATGATCGTAGTATGCAAATGCCTGTTACAAGGCAAAAGATTCGATGCTGCTGCCGCTGGCCTTAATTGAGTTTCTGAAAAACAAGAAACAAGAAACAACGTTAGCTATCGCTACGGGTATATTTTACAAACGCACACACACACCACTCAATTCACTTCACTAGAATCCGCCAACTAGCTTAGCTACCATCGCACTGAATAGAACACAGAGACTTAACATCAAACATTTAGGGGCACGGCAGAGCTAGGAATGGACTGGAGGGGACGCAGGCAGCTAACATTCTAATTTTATAGAAAGTGGCAAAATCGTTCTTGTAAAAATTTCTCATTTCTTATTCTGTAACATGTCTAATTAAATTTGTGCATCTATGGCGAAAAATAAAAACAAGGGGCAAATTGTGTTACATGGGAGGCCTAGAACAAAATACCCACAATCTAAAGCTGAGGAATGATTACGCTATCCTTACTTTCCAAGAAGCTGGAACGACGACGGTGACGGAGGAGAGGAAGCTTGGAGTCAGAGGGGCCGCGTGCTCGACGAAGCTTGAAGGAGGAGAAGCAGAACGGCGACCGATGGCGCTGCAGGCCGGAGGAGGAGAAAAACTGAAGGAAACGGTCAGCTGGGAAAAATGAGGGCGGGCCCGGCCGACCGTTTGATTCAGGTTTCGCGTCGCCCGGTAGAGAAAAAGAGAAGTGAAGGGTGAGCTTCAGTTGCAGCCGGCATACCTCAAAGCCAGAAGTCAACGAACAAATTATAAAGCCAAAGGGTTTCCGTTTTTTCTTTTCTCTTCTGTTTTTGTTTCGAAAACTAAAAGAAACATTTTTGTTTGGGCTTTGGGCTTGTCTTCGGCAGCCACTATGAAGGCCTAGGCCCTGTACTCTCGCTAGAATAATGCCACTAAAAAAATACCAGGCCCAACAGATTAATTTTAATGTTATTTAGCTCAAACCACGTGCTATGGAATTCGATTTTTTTCCCTATAAAAATTAATCGATACTGTATTTGATAACATTAATATTGATGGTAAATTTTTGGAAAAAAAAAAACTACCTCCAATTTTTAATATGCGAGTTAGTTGGGAGAAAAAATTTAGTTTAAATATAATACCTCAAATTACTTTGTTCCCATCTTTTTTTAAAATATCACTATTAATTCTAAGGGTGTTATCAAGGGATAAAATCATCTAATTTACATACTTGAAGAAAATAATTTAAGAATACCAATACATATTTGTAACAAACAACTAACTCAACTAATTTTTTTAATATTCTCAAATCTATAATCTAACTTTCATATTAAGGACATAATGTAATATTGATGATAAGATTTTATTTGTTCTTTATTTCAAATAAAAAAATAATTTTTAAAAAGACGGGCCCTAAAGCCTTTTCTTCATTCTTTTTCACTTAAAATAATTTTTATGAAAATAATTTAAAATTAATTATAATTTAATAAAAATTTGAATCATTTTGTTTACAGAACAACCAAAGCTTATAATTTAAAACTAAAAAGATTAAAACTAAGATGTGAACGAAGTTGAGGGCTAACTAATATATTAACCCAACATGAAATAGCCAGAGCCTCCTTACTGCGAAAACCCGAAAAGTCATAAAACAGGCCCTAACCCTGATTTGAGGACCAGGACCAGGCCCAGCTCCAGGCCCAGCTCACGAGTCCGAGGTGTCGTAGCCAGTAGCCATACACCAAGGCGCGAACCAAATTCCAGAATGGAACAGACGAGGAAAATTAGAAAACCCAGTTGCCTGGTGGTACACTGCGTGACACGACAAGCTCACATCGGAAAAATTAACCATCGTCTTCATCACCGGTAGGTGGCGAGACTCATTTCTTCTACGTAATTGCACTCTACAATTCGCCTGAACTGAAAGACGACACAACAATCACATGGCGTCATCGTCCTCCTCCAGCTCTGATAGCTCCTCCTGGGAGCTTCAGTGCGTTGGAACTTTGGAAATCGTAACTCCCAAACCTGTTGGCTTTCTCTGCGGTTCAATCCCGGTTCCCACCGACAAATCCTTCCACGCTTTTGGTTCCAATCTTCTTCCTAACCGTCAAACGTACGCATACTCTCTCTGTGATCATGTCGTTTGATTTTGTAATTTTGGCGTGTTTAATTACTCAAAATTTGGCCTTGCTATTCTTGTGACTGTCATTTTGATACCCGGTTTACTGAGCAATCGTTTTTTTCTGCATTTTTAAATTGTTCATGTGTTTTTTTCCCCTTTCCGCAGAGTAAATGCTCCGCGGTATCGATACCGGATGCTTCCGACTGAGACTGATCTCAATACGCCTCCACTTCTTTCGCATTTTCCTGAAAAGGTTCTCCCTGTTGCTGCTGTGCAGTCAAGAACCACGGGAGGTACTTGTTTCCCACTAGACTAATTTTCATATGTCCATCACTCCCCAATTTGAATAGTGGAAGATTATTTCTGGCTTCTGATTGTCGCTCTTTTAGTAATACAGCTTTTGGCTAGGGATTGGGTAATTATGTGAGTTCAAATCAAATCACCACCACGTGATCAATGGATGTGCAATGCGACACTGGATTGTATTTACTTTTGTATTGAAGCCTCCTAATCCCATGAATGTAAATCCGTTTCCCAGGAGAGAGAAACTTAGCTGTATTACAGCTTCTACCTATATCATCAAATCCACGATTATGTTCCGATAAAATCTAAAGTTCAAAAGGAAGTGTGATAAGCCCTGTTTAAAAAAGAGTATGAAACTTAGATACAGATTTTTGCTAAGCTCAAGCAAGAACAAGGTATTATGTTGACTCGAGTCCAAACAAAGTTCATTTCCTTAATTTGACCAACCAACATGGCCCGGGTTAAGTCAATGCATGTTGTTCTTCTTCGTAACTCTGTGCATGAATTCTTAGGAAGAAAGGATCAGAGTGGGATTAGTTGTCTAAAGTTACCCATTGAATGTTCGTTGAATTTGGACCTCTGTATATCCTCAGAGTTCTCGTGGGGAATTTAAGGGAAGGTGTCAAATTATTTTGATGAGTGTGATTGTGCTTTGTGTTGTTTCATCCCATAAATAAATTTGAACACTCAAAACAATCTGTTGTACTGACAGATTTACTCCTCTTACAACTAGTTTGCTTGATTAGAGAAGCCAATGCTTTTGGAAGTTTTGTAACATTAATATCATCCCCCACTAGAATTCTTTGAAGCACGGACACCTTTTGTCATTCACTAATGTATTGCTGATGCTTTTGACATGTGGATTGTGACAGATTTACCTTGGGATGGTGCTGCTGTTGCATCTAATCTTAGCAGAAAATGCGAGGCACTTGCAGTATCTGGTTTGGCGGAGTATGGAGATGAAATTGATGTGATTGCTCCTGCAGACATTTTGAAGCAGATTTTTAAAATGCCTTATTCAAAGGCTCGATTATCAGTTGCTGTTCATCGCATTGGTCAGACCCTTGTTTTAAACACTGGGTATGTATCTTGACTACTGATCCTTTGATTTGGTTGCAGTGCCTCCACTTTTCCTTTACTGAAGCATTGAATCATAATTGCTGTTGAGAGATGTCTTTCTGGTCCGTGGTAAAAATTCCAGATTCATTTCATTTCATCATTATCATCTCTTTAGATCACAGTGGTTACTTAACTCTCAGAAACATGAGAATTTCAATTTGAAATTTGAGCATTCCCTCTTTTCACCTTTCCTTAAAGAAAAATATATCAAAATTCTACTTTATGTTCTGAAGAAAAAGTATAGATGAGTCTTCTCGATAATTAGAGACTTGCTGATTTCAACAAGAAAAAGCAATGTCTGGAAGACTTAATTTATTTGGTTGTAATCACGTGGAGATGGTTTCATCTTAAGAGTCAATCATTCGAAATTAAAGAAAGGATTCAACTGATTATTGCTTTTAAACTCCTAGCCTGTCAACATTTTCCCAGATCGAATCCTTTACCTCTGAAGGTCATGGCTATACTGACAGCTTTTTATTTTATAACTGGCCCTTTTCTTATAATGATAATCATTGAATTTATTTCATGTGACAAAATATTTTCTGAGGTGCAGCCCCGATGTTGAAGAGGGAGAAAAGTTGATTAGAAGGCATAATAATCAGTCAAAATGTGCTGATCAATCATTATTCTTAAATTTTGCTATGCATTCAGTCAGAATGGAGGCTTGTGATTGCCCTCCAAGTCATCATGTTTCATCAGAAGGGAAGTCAAATAATTCTGTTCTTCCTGGAGGAAATACTCCTCAGATTGTGAAACAACATGATGATGTTGTTCGAGCTGAAAGATACAATAGTTTTACTGAGTACGCAGAGGTTAAGCAGGACAGTTATTTGTGGGGGGGCAAGAAGAATAGAAGAAACAGAAATCATAATCCAGTTAATACGGTGGCATCACAAATTGGTGAAAAACCTAGATCCTTCATGCAAGAGTCTGAGAAACAAAGAAAAGCTGGCAATGACAACTTTCTGAGGGTTTTGTTCTGGCAGTTTCATAATTTCCGCATGCTACTAGGTAGTGACTTGCTTTTGTTCAGTAATGAGAAGTATGTGGCTGTGAGCCTGCATCTATGGGATGTTACTCACCAGGTTTGTGCATTTTTCTAAATTCTTGCATCCTAGTTTATGATTTCAAAATTATTCATTATAATTTCTTAATTTGATAGGTAACGCCATTGACATGGCTGGAAGCTTGGCTTGACAATGTCATGGCGAGTGTGCCTGAGATGGCTATCTGCTATCATCATAATGGTGTTGTTCAAGGATATGAGCTTCTGAAAACAGATGACATATTTCTATTGAAGGGGATATCTGATGATGGGACACCCGCATTTCATCCTTATGTCGTCCAGCAAAATGGTCTTTCTGTTTTGAGATTCCTTCAGGATAATTGCAAACAGGATCCTGGATCTTACTGGGTACTTTTACTATATCTTTCTTGCCTTTTACTTTATTATTATTTTTCACAATTTTTTTTATCGCTTTGTCCTTACTATGTGCAAGCTCTTTTAAATTTTTTCACGCTTAAAATTTCTGGCAAGCCTGACTTAGTTTTGCAGCTTTATAAAGGTGCAGGTGAAGATGACATACAGCTTTTTGATCTTTCTGTTATTCCTAAAAACCATTCTTCTGATGGTTGTCATGATAGTTCAAGCTCCTTGCCTACTTTAATCAGTAGAGGCAGGAGTGATGCTGTGTACTCATTGGGAACTCTCCTCTATCGGATTGCTCATCGGCTTTCACTTTCAATGGTGTGAATTGATCAAACTTGTGTTTGGGCTAATTGTGCTTTTTCGTATTTGAATTAGCTGGTTACTAATTAACGTTGCTTTTGCCACAGGCTGCTAAAAATAGGGCTAGGTGTGTGAGTTTTTTCAGAAAATGTTTGGATTTTCTTGATGACTCAGACCATCTGGTATCTTGTTTTGAAGATATTTTCTTTTTTTCCCTTTTATTTTTTTTTAAATCTTCAATATGATAGCATTGCTAATTGGTGTTCTGTTGAACAGGCAGTACGAGCAATTGCTCATGAACAATTTGCCAGGCTGATTTTAAATTATGATGAAGAACTGAATTTAACGTCTGAATCTCTAGCTGTAGAATGTGACCTAATTGTTACTGAAGCTGAAGAGTCATCCCTTGATGCTGAAAACAGAAATTCTGAGTCAGTTGTCCATGAAGAGGTATTATCTCGTGTTGAATCATGTGAACAAGGACAAATACTTGAGCACTTGGAATCGGATTCTACTGCCAACATGACGTCTGCTACAAACACTGGGGAATTAATGGCCGCAGCTGACATGGAATTAAGCACTCAAGGAGTGGCTCTACCAAACTCTGGTGGTGATGAGAGCTTTTCTGCACAGGAAGTATGTCCAGTTCCTACACCTGTGGTCCAGACAGTAGCTGATCCTGTCTCATCTAAATTAGCTGCAGTGCACCATGTTTCACAAGCCATTAAATCTCTTAGATGGATGCGGCAGCTTCAGAGCAGTGAACCACAGCTAATGGATCAGTTTAGTGAAAATCATAACAGGCAACCTTCATCATTTAATGTGTCTGTTTGTGCATGTGGAGATCCTGACTGTATTGAAGTCTGTGACATTCGGGAATGGCTTCCAACATCCAAGTTAGACCATAAGCTCTGGAAGCTAGTTCTTTTGCTTGGGGAATCTTATCTGGCACTTGCGGAAGCTTATATAGAGGATGGCCAGCTGCATCAAGCTTTGAAGGTTATACAATTAGCATGTTCTGTTTATGGATCGATGCCTCCTCATCTTGAAGATGCGAAATTCATTTCCTCAATGGTTAGTAATTCTTCCTTACGGAGAAAATTCTCCAATAGAAATGATAAAACTGCATTGCTAGATGGCAATATAAAAGATGAGAATTGCATCTCTGATAATGGGTATCTTGCTATCGAGAGGAAGTCTTCTACTTGCCTATTTTGGGCCAAGGCATGGGCTCTAGTTGGGGATGTATATGTTGAGTTTCATAAGATTAAAAGTAAAGAATCAATACAAGAATTGAGAAAATCTACAACCAAAGAATTGAGAATGCCATCTGAGGTTGTGAAGGAAGTTAAAAGGCTGAAGAGTAAATTAACCCAGTTGAGCCAGAACTGCAGCTCATGTTCCCTGATAAATTGCAGTTGCCAGAGTGATAGAGTGAGTAGTGGAAGCAGTGCTAGCAGTAGTAGGGCAGATAGGAGCGTTATGGCTTATGGTAGAAAGCTTAGTAAAAGATCGTATACTAAAAATGTCGCATGCTTGCCACCAAAGGACGCAGAAGAGTGCATGCATGACATTGATGATAGGAAAGAGTCAGAGACGCATGAATCTTGTTCTAGTGTTGTCTCTCAAACTGAATTTAATTCAAAAGAAACATCAGAAGTGAAATATGGTGGAATCTTTGAGTACCTAGATGGTCCTCAAGTTGGAGAAGTGGAGCACAACCTATCAGCTGCTCTAAAATGCTATGAAGAAGCTAGAAAGTCAGTGATTAAACTGCCTTCTGGTTTGTCTGAACTACAATCTGTAGTTAAAAAGAGAGGGTGGGTTTGCAACGAATTGGGCCGAATCAGACTTGAAAAGAAAGAGCTGAGTGAAGCTGAACAGGCATTTACTGATGCCATAAATGCGTTCAAAGAAGTTTCAGACCACACCAATATTATATTGATATATTTAAATTTGGGCCATGGCAGACGGGCTTTGGCTGAGGAGATGGCGTCGAAAATTGAAAATCTTAAGTTACATTCCATCTTCCATAACGCATATAATCAAGCATTAGAGACAACAAAACTAGAATATAGAGAATCTCTTAGATATTATGCAGCTGCAAGGTCAGAATTGAATGCCATCAGTCAAAATGATAGTTCTGTGACAACCAACTTAAGGAATGAGGTACATACACAGTTTGCTCATACTTATCTGCGTCTTGGCATGCTCTTGTTAAGAGAAGATAGTACCGCAGAAGTGTATGAAAATGGATGCTTTGAAGATACATTTATAAGCTGCACCAATACTCATGACAGAAAAGTCAGGAAGGAACTGAAAAAGCATGAGCTTTCAGCTAATGAGGCCATTAGGGAAGCATTGTCTGTGTATGAATCTCTGGGTGAACTACGTAAACAGGAGGCTGCATATGCTTACTTCCAGTTGGCTTGTTATCAGAGAAATTGTTGTTTAAAGTTTATGGATTCAGGTAATAAGAAAGGAGGCTTGTCTAAAGGTGAAAACAGGATTCTGCAACGGGTCAAGCAATATGCATCTTTGGCTGAGAGGAACTGGCAAAAAGCTATGGACTTCTATGGAGCAAAAACTCATCCTTCCATGTATTTGACTATCCTCATAGAGAGATCAGCTCTTTCACTTAGCGTTTCAAGCCATTTGCACTCCTATGCGGTATTTTTCTGAACTTTTGCCAAGTTTTTCCCTGCTGGTTATAAATTTGCAGAGATGATTCATCTGGTCAGCAAGTGTATGTATAAACATATCTATTATCTAGTTCTTGTATTGATTACGGTTCCTCAAAAAGTAATGCACATGGGTAGAATTTGGGTGGAAATTTTTACAGGTCCTGATATGTCATACATAAATAAACATGGGGAAAGATTAACTGACTTGCCACGTTTGGCCATCATATAGAACGAGCGGGCTTGGTTTAATGGCTTCATTTTTTTTTTTTTTCCTTTTTCTGAAAGGTGTGAGTTTCAGTATTGTACTCAGTAACTTATAATATTAATATAAGGGAGAGTTTAGATTATTTTAGTTCTAGGTAAACATCCTCAAGTTCTTTGCTAGATCCTCGAGTTCTCCTCAAGATTCCTGAAGTTTGCTAAGCCATCTTCCTTTTGTTTTTCTGCTTCCACTTTGTGGTCTGTTTCAGTCATAGACTCATTGGTGGTGCTTACGAATTTTGTTGCAGATGCTGGAATCTGCTCTGGCTCATATGCTTGAAGGGCGTCATGTTTCTGATACAAATGGTGATATGCACAGAGCCAGCGATCCTGAACTTGAAGCAAAATATTGGAGGCAGTTGCAGATGCTTCTGAAGAAAATTTTGACCACGACACTTTCATCAGGTCCCAACAAATCGCAGCCATCTTCAACATCTAGCAAATCTGGTGATGGTGGGAAGATCAGGGAACTCTATAAGATGTCTCTGAAGGCAAATGACATGGCCGAAGTGCATGCAATGTACAACTTGTGGATATCGTAAAGGTGAAACTCGTTTTGACTCGAGTCTTTATGTCTCCGCCCCTCTACTTGGTTTCCTTGCTCTGATGATTATGTTGGGGCTGATTTCATTTGGATATCCTTTTGTGGAAAAGCATTCTTCATCTAGTCATCTTCTTTGAAGAGGCTGCTGTGTAATTGTCATTAACCTGAAGAAAAGTAGTCATGTTGGCTGGGAACTGCACTAAAATTTTTTAGCTGAAAACCTTTTTCTTCCCTCTTCCAGGTCCTGAATCTGCCACTACTTGTATTAATACCGTTATTGGCACGCATGATTATGATTTATTAATCTCAAGGGTAATTAGTCAATGAATAGTTTACTTAATCGTTGTCTCTGTTAGTAAGCAAAGAAGGCAGCAAGTTGAAAAGTAACACTTGGACCCTTCCTTTTCAAGGTTTTCTCAGCTTAGTTGGAGAGAGTGATTGCTGGGTGAGAGGAGGTTTTGATCTTTAATTTAGATATAACAACGAAATATGTTTTTATTAATATTTTGTTTTTAAAGAAGGGAAAATCACAAAAAAGGATCTTGAAAATTGAGAATTGCATTTAGGGACCCGTTCACAAAAATTGTTGTCATTTGCTTATCAATCGTCAAAACCAATGCCAGTATTGTAAGGGGTTCTTATTTGTAATTTTTCTATTTTTAAAGTTATTTCTTGGGTGATTTTCCCTTTAAAGAATGATAGGATTTTCAATACTGCATGGGGTCATTAACTAGAAGTGCTGTATCTAAATTCTTCTATTGTTAATATATAGATATTTGCTTCCTTGAAAAAAGAAAAAGCCAATGACGTCGTAGTTTAATGGTATGAAAGCATTCCCGTGCAAGTAAAAAGTTGTGGTTTCATTCTACTGGTAATCTCAAGCTCTTCTAATTTTTTTTTTTTTAATAAAAACAAACGTGCTTTTTGATGAGAGTGGTATGCGGGGCAAAAGGTATAATGCTTATTTATTCCCACTTTTTTCTATCTTTTTATTTCTTTTGTTATTGAAGAGATATTTGACATGTTTAAATTTCATTTTGTAATCGCTGACAGTTACTAGACACAGCATCACTCAGGATGTTAAATCTAGTTAGGAAATGAAGACACTTCCATTACACCATGGGAATTGAGAAATCTGTGAGTTGACACATTTTAAAAATTAAAATATGACTTGTGAATTTTGGAAAACAAAATTATCGAAGTATTCATATTTGATGGAAAAAATATTTTCTTCAAAATACTCTCTCCAGTATTTAATACTCCTCCGGTCCTTATTATAAGACCCAATTTGACTTTTTATTTGGTCCTAATTATAAGACCCAATCCATTTTCTCTCTTATATTTATACATTTTTTTCCAAGATAATCCTTCTAATAATGATAGTTTTAGCCAATATACGTAATTAGCAAGGATATTTTAGGAATAACAACACTTATTTATTATAAATAACCACCTTAACTTACTTCCTTAATTTCCTCAAATAAGTCAATTGGGTCTTATAATTAGGACCGGAGGAGTATAAGAGTTACTCCTTTGGTCATAAGGTAAAGAGAAAATGTTTTTTTTTTCTATTTATGAATTATTTAATTAAATTTTTAATGTGAAGGTATTATTTTGTCTTTAATTTATTATAGTGTAGATAGTTTTTTTTAATAAAAAAATGCATAAATATTAAATAGAGTAAATTGAAAAATTATTATATTTTAATAAAGAGTTAATCTAGTTTAAAGATTTTTTTGATCTGTATGAAATATGTTAGAAAAATAGTTGACTAATTCGAGTAAATTAAAAAAATTGGTTAATTTAATTATTTGTAATAATTATGTGTGATAGCTCGAATTATCATTTGATAGAACTTTTAACATGTGCAATTATTATAAGGATTATTTTAAAAAAATAGATAAATATGAAAGTAAAATAAATTGAGGTCTTATAGTTAGAATTAAATTGAATGTTAAACTAGCTGTTATGTTAAGAAGAATAAAGAGGAAGTAATTTCTTGTTAAGAAATGCTGATATTAAATTAAGTTGGAAAAGAAATAAAAGCCAGTCGAGTCGGCCAATTCACTCTTTTGACAAAAAAAAAAAGAAAAGAAAAGGAGTCGGCCAATTCACTCCAAAAACAGATGAGTTGGATTAAAAAAGAGAAGAAAAACAAAAACAAAAACACAGGAGAAGTCGATGGAGGTCGGTCAAGTGAACGATGACGCGTCCCTCCCTCAAATATCAACGGGGCAAGCCAACGTGGAATACAAAACGGTTGGCACGAAAACAAAAGGGATGTGAAAGGACAATTCCCTCCTTGCACAAGAATGCATTGGGCTTTGCTTCGGCCATTAGCATAAAGCATTTGAGAGTCTCAAAGACTTCAATCCCTATATAATCCTAAAATAATCCCGCCAAAATGGACGCGAAACCTCTCTCGATCTCCTCTCTGCTTCTTGTTTTCCTGATCGTTTCTACTGCAATGGCTGAATCCACCCCCAAACCCGTTGATTCCGCTGATTCTTCTACTCCTGCTGTTCACATCGTCTACACTGAGAAACCCGAGAGTGAAGAGCCTGAGGCCTACCACATCAGAACCCTCACTGCTGTCCTTGGCAGGTTTGTTATTCTGATCCTGTTTCCGGCTCTGATTGTTTCTCGAGGAAAAAAAGGATTTCGGAATTGACCGTGTGGTTGATTTTGTTTGTTTGATTTGCTTGATTCTAGTGAGGAGGCTGCCAAGGAGGCTTTGTTGTACAGTTACAAAAGCGCTGCTAGTGGATTCTCGGCTAAGCTAACTCCGGAGCAGGTTTCTGAAATTTCAAGTAAGTTGGGCCCCCCCTTCCTTTAATTCCTCTGTTTCGCAATAATTTTTAGAAATCATCGTATTTCTTTAGATGTTTAGTGTAGAACACAATTACATTCATGGTGAAGACTGAAGAGAAAGGTTCCTTAGCCTTGATTTTTGAAGTTCCATGTTCATATGACACTGATATTGAAAACAGAATTTTGTGAAAAGGGAGCTGAGTTTAGCCATCCGAGTCTTCTTTTAAAAATAAATAAATAAATGGATAAATGGAATATATAGTTTGGTTGATTTTCTACTTTTCAAATTAAATAAACCGTACGTTGAGTTTAAATTCAATTTCGCTGGTAAATATATTGGGGTTTATGCAAGAACTGGATTTTATTTTTTATTTCATTGAGTAATTTGTAGTTAGATGGAAGGAATCCCAATAGTACTATGAATACAGTAAAAAAGAACAAAATTATGAACATTAACATTCTGTTAAACTGCCTAAAGTTTGAGCATATGTGAATGAATTTGTTTAGCTGAATAGAAATGCGAAACTTAATGCAGTTGAAAAGTAGAAAAGTTTGCAGAAGGGTCATACTCCCCTCTGGTTGGAAATAAAGGGCAACTTCTAGAAGCCGAGCTTGAAAATATAGGGGAAAATGTAATATTTACATTTTGTTTCCAAATCCTGCACTTCCATCATTTATTGCCGGTTCGGGCTTAGTACTTTAGTTGCGTTGTGTTACTGATTTGTTTTTAATTCCAGGATGGCATTTAATTTTGGTCATTTATTGCATTGAAGGGAAAAACAAGGAAAAAACTGAAAGGATAGACATTTTTTTGACAAGACTAAAGATATAAAACCCCGTTCCTTAAGAAGTACCTTTGCCTTATATTTTGGACTGGAGAGAGTAAATTCTAATCTGACACGAAATGAATATGATGGTTGCCTAAATTTAGGATTGCGTGGAAAATGGGATATGAAATGTAATTTGAAGATCGTTATTTTAGTGTTATGATGTATCTCAGAATATATAACTAATTATGGATTCTGCCTATCTCTTTTACGAAAGCATCCAAACGAAATCAAATTTAGCTGGCAGTGGCACTGGACAGATCTAGTGATTGGCATCTGCATGGGAGAGATTTGTTTGATTTCCCATCCTGCACGATGTTCTTGATTCTTCACTTGTATCTGCCGTTTTGTCTTGGTAAAGACAGCCGCATGTGTGCTTCTGTTTCTGTTTCTCTGTAATGCTCAGATTCAAAATTTTCGTTTATGTTTTCTCTAGTTACATTTTATTTATTTAACTTTTTCTTGTGATGTTTGCTCAGATTGTAAGATTATTGTCACATCAATAATCTGCTTATAACCGTCAAAATATATAATATTAGTAATTATAGTCTGATTGTTCATTCTTTACTTTTGCAGAGCAACCAGGTGTTCTTCAAGTTGTTCCAAGCAGGACTCTTCAGGTTCATTCAGGGCCGATGAACCTGCATTAAAGGATGGGGAGATTCTAGGTGAATCTTTCAAGCAGTTTCCTCTACCATGTATAAACTAGTTTGACCCAACCTATGCTCATGTTAATGTTAAGAAAAATATCCTGTACAAGCTTATGATTGTGTGATGTATACAAATGCCCCAAACCTGCATTAACTTTTTCTGGGCTGACGATGAAATAATAATCGCTTGATGCTTTGAAATGTTAAACACAGTTTTCTCTATTACCTTATTTAGCTCACTGCTTATGTATGATGAAAAACAATAGTAATGAACTTGATACAAATTTTTTAAGTATTAGGAACATAAGGGAGCCATTCCTATCATCCAAGGCTTGCGGGCTGAGAAGTGGAAGATGGCATGCTAGTGTCCGTTTTTCCTTAGTCAAATGTAATGTACAAGTGTGTAGGGAGTGATATTTCCCATTTGTTTTGGACTTTTGATATTTCTAATTACACTTGCGCTTCCAAGTCTTCCTTCTTCAAATGTAACTTTGTCTTGTCGTGTGTTTCCAAAACTATCACATGAAATGTTTGCAAAATAATACTAGCAATTGAGGTCTTGTGGTTTGATCAAGACTTGAATCGTGGCTGATTGGATATAGGGATTGTGTGTGTGTGGGTGTGTGTTGTAACATTCAATAATTTGATACTGGAGAAATATGAAATTTTTATTTTATAGCTTATAGGGATTATGTATCACAATTCTCAGAAAAAGAATTGAGTGTGATCCATGCAAAAGTCAAGAGAGCAAACTGGCTATTTTTGAGAGTTTGGTTGAATTATTTCATATTTATTTTTAAAATGGTGTCTAATTTAAATATAAAAAAAATGTGCGAAGTTTCATTATTGATAAATTATAATTAGTGATACTCATATCGAATTTTACGCAACATGCGAGCCTGGCTATGTAGTAGAGTGCGTCATTGTTCACAACCCCTCAATTTTCCGCACATATTTTACTCAGCTGTATTTATATATATATATATGTATGTATGTATAAATTAAAAGTTGAAAAGTATAAATTTTGTTTATCTATTCCAACAAAAAATTGTCTCTCCAAGATATGTATAACATCTTGTTCAACGAGAAATTATTTTATTTTTAATATAATAATAAAGGTAGCTGATATTTTCTTTTGCCCAGACAAGGGGCGCTGAATTGATGTCAAGCTTCCAGAGCCTGGTCCCAAATTTTCAAAATCATTGGAAGTGAAACCGGCAACGGTGGCCCTTCACCCTATCATGCTGACGCGGGAAGACAGACGGTCGTATATTGTATTCGATCACTCGTCCCCCTTCGGCCGTTCCCCACCCGCCTGACCTGTGGTACGGCAGCTTCTCTTCCGATAAATCGAAGGATTCACTATATAAAGTAAATGAGAATCTTTGACATTTGAGAAGTAACAGAAAAACAGTGAAACTCTATTCTGACTCTTGGAAAGCTATCCAACTGCTTGCTACAAATTGCAATCTCTCGCCTGCAAAAGTCGGGTCTTACTGGTCGTAAACGGGAACGCAATGCGCCTTTCCTACCACGTCATGGGCTCGATACCTGCGCGAGGCACCCTGGGATTAGTCTGGCTGATAAACTGGATACCTGAGTTAGCGATACCATCCTACTCAAAAAATTACAATTTCTCGCACACTTACAGAGAGGACAAAGCTGAAATCAGGTCTGTAATTTTCTCGAATTGGGATCTGGAAATTGATCATGTCAACAGAGAGGCGAACATGTGCGCTGATTACCTTGCACGGACTGCTCATGAGGGGAATATGGGGGTGAATATGATTCACGTACCCCCGACTTTTTGTGTAAACCAAATGTGGAATGACCTTACTAATACTGGTTCTAGGAGTCGTTTGTAATCTTCACAAGCTTAGGCTTGCCTTATTATTCAAAACAAAAAGAAAAAAAGAGGAGCATGAGAGAGGAGGAGAAAAAAAAATAGGGGGAAGGTGCGGGAGGAGGTAATAGGAACAAGATCAAACAAACCCACTGGGGAAAAAAATCACATTTACTTATCATTGAATTGAGATTGAAATGAAGAAGAATAGCGTTCCAATAAAAGCTTCTTTACCAAATTTCCTTCCGGTCTTGCCATATCAAACTCCGAGACTCAGAGATCATTTCCTTATTGGCAAGAAGATAGGCCAAGGCCAATTTGGCACGACATATCTCTGTACCCAGAAATCTACAGGGAAGCTTTTTGCCTGCAAATCGATCCCTAAGCGGAAACTATTGTGCAAAGAAGATTATGAGGATGTATGGAGGGAGGTTCAGATCATGCATCATTTGTCGGGGCAGCCTAATGTGGTTCAAATACAAGGAACGTATGAGGATTATTTGTTCGTGGACATAGTTATGGAGCTTTGCGCTGGGGGTGAGCTTTTCGATAGGATCATTCAGAAGGGGAATTACAATGAGAAAGAGGCGGTCAAGTTGATAACGACCATTGTTGGCGTCGTGGAAGCTTGTCACTCTCTTGGGGTCATGCATAGGGATCTCAAGCCCGAGAATTTCTTATTTGAAAATCGCGATGAAGATGCCAAAATGAAGGCTACGGATTTTGGGTTGTCTGCGTTCTACAAGCCAGGTTGATTTTGGACATTGTCCCAATTTTGTCGTCTCCTATCAGAGAATGCTCTCTATTCTCCCACGTTTGTTTATTTCTCGTGATTGTTCTTGTGATTCTAATCATTAAGAGGATCGATGGTTCCTTTTGCTCCTCTTCTTCATTATTGATTGGCAACATTTCATCATTTTTCCTCTTGTCAGGATTTAGTTAATCATGACCCGCCATCACCTTTTCTTTGTTTTCTCTTCTCCCTCCAGGACAATCCTTTTCTGATGTGGTTGGAAGTGCCTATTATGTTCCGCCTGAGGTGCTCCTCAAACATTATGGACCAGAAGCGGATGTGTGGAGTGCTGGTGTCATCTTATACATCTTACTGAGTGGGGTCCCGCCTTTTTGGGCAGGTAAGGATTTTAATGTATCTGTGATTTCTTGGGCTTGCAGATGTGAAATTTTTCTTGTCCATACAGAATCGCCTCTACGGTTTTGTGATCTTTATCCCTCAGCTACATTGACTTTTTCCTATCACTTGCAGAAACTGAGGCCGGAATTTTCAGACAGATTTTGCATGGAAAGCTAGATCTTGAGTCTGATCCATGGCCAAGCATCTCGGAAAGTGCTAAGGATTTGGTAAAAAGTATGCTCGAGAGGGATCCCAAGAAAAGAATCTCTGCGCATGAAGTTTTATGTGAGTTCCTTGACTTGGTGTAGCATTCCAGGGAATTCTCGCATCACAGCTCTGTATAAATCTAATGACCATGGAATTTATGTTTCAGGTCATCCTTGGATCGTTGATGATTCAGTTGTCCCTGACAAGCCTCTGGATTCTGCTGTTTTGTCACGGCTGAAGCAGTTCTCAGAAATGAATAAACTTAAGAAGATGGCACGGCGTGTATGTTATGTTATAATGCTATTCACTCTTCACTGTTATTAAGTTCTGATGAATATGAGCAATGCTATAATATATTACTTCTCCGTTTCTTATTATAAGAGATAAATAACCAAATTACATTGATAAAAAAAACAGTTAAAATTAGTTAAGAACAATCAATATGTAAAAAGTACAATTTTTTTTCTTCCAAAAATGCTCTCATTAATAAGGAGAGAGAGCATGAGAAAGAACAATGATAAATTATTAAAAGAAAGAGAAGTGGGAATGAGAGAGAGTGTGAGTTGGAGACAATAAATATAGGTAAAATAGGAAATCAACACAAAAAAGTAGAGACAACTTTTAAGTGTCTCTTATATATAGGAACATGCTATAAGCATCAAATGTCTCTTATAATAAGGAACGGAAGGAGTATCTATAAGAATCAAATCTTGATTAGCTCGTGGCATTCTTTGAAAAACTATGGTACTTTTTCTTTGCTTTTTCCTATTTTTAAGTATGGGAGAATTGCAACAAACTCTTTAATAGCCAATTAATATCAGTCAACCTCTAGAAAATTATGAATTTTCACTGCACCTCCTTGACCAAAATTTTTTGTGTGCGAAGACAAAAATATCCTTACTTTATTTGATTTGCAAATAGCCAAATGTATATGGCAAATCATGGAATTCTTGTTGTAGATAGCCGAATTTGAGTTATAAATCCCTATAAATTTTTTGGATAAATGAACAATTTAAATTTGATGATTTACAACAAGAATTCGGTAATTTGTAATAAGAATTCGGCAATTTGCAGCTGAAATAAAATCAGGATATTTTTGTCTTCTGACACAAAAAATTTTGGTCAAGGGGATGCAGTGAAATTTCAGAAATTTTTAGGAGTTGACTGATATTAATTAGCTGCTAAAAGGGTTTACTGAATATTTCCCAAAGTATACTGAGTTATTAAGAAGAGTATATTCACTTATGTGGTTTGAACAAGGTAAAGTAATTTGGTTTCCTATGAAAGACCATAACTGTCTCATAGTATAGATTATAGAATGCCCAAAGGCCTGACGTGCTGAAGTCATAATAAGCATCTAGGATTGCAATCTTAGAATATTCTGTTAACTGACAGATGCGGATTGTCCGAGTCCATCTCAAATGTTATTTATCTGATTATGCTGAGAATTGCCAATATCTATGTTGGTGACTCTAATTGCCTCCTATTTTAGAAGTGAATGCATTAGTTATCTTTAGCTGCAGTAGAATTGTCTACGTGGTGAGACAACAAACTAGATATTTCCTGGAACTGATTTCTGATCATGCTAGATTTGACATTGTCAAGGGCAACTCTCATCTGTCCATATTTTTATGTTCTGGAATCTATCCAAATTACGTGTTAATATTTTGCGTAAATGTTTCAGGTCATAGCAGAAAGATGTTCAGAAGAGGAAATCGGTGGTTTAAGAGAGCTGTTCAAAATGATTGACACAGACAACAGCGGAACAATAACATTTGAGGAACTCAAAGAAGGTCTCGAGAGAGTTGGTTCTAAGCTGACGGAATCTGAAATTAAATCCCTTCTGGAAGCGGTAGGTAGATAACTTTAAAAAGTATTTAAAAAGGAAAGGATTTTTTTTCTTTTTTCATTTTTCCTTAAATACTTATACAAATAAGTTGTTCTCGTTTTCATTGCCCGTCTTTATGTTGATTTTGGTGACCCTTGATTGCCTTCCCTCATGAATTTTTGCAGGCCGATATAGACAACAATGGAACGATAGATTATGGTGAATTTCTTGCGGCCACGCTGCACTTGAATAAGATGGAAAGAGAGGAGAATCTGGTTGCAGCCTTTTCCTATTTTGACAAAGATGGCAGTGGTTACATCACCATTGATGAGCTTCAACAGGCCTGTAAAGATTTTGGCCTAGGTGATGTACATCTAGATGAAACAATCAAAGAGATTGATCTAGACAATGTAAGTCTTCTAAGTAAATCTGTTTATGCCTCATCTCTATAAATCTAAGGCCAACTTGTTCTGGTTTCATATTCAAGTAGTTATCTTTTTGTTTAATTTTACTCACAACTTTGTTGTTACTGAACTATTTATTTTTCACAATAAACTTTGCTACCTCGCTTGAACTTATTAGCATTATTACCTGTAAGATGGGACAAACTGGGCATAGCTTTATTGCTTCTATTATAAGTTTGTGATTTTGGCCTGCTACACTTGAAGCAGCTTGTGATTTGTCGGAATGTTGCTATTATTGCATCGGGTAATTGGGTTGTCTGGATCAGATTATTAGATGATATTTATGGTCAATAATCACTGAAATGATCTCATTAAGGGTTCATATCTGAACTGCAATATATTGATTTGTGAATTAGGTTCCATATAACTAAATGTGGAGTTGTTAGAGGGTGATGAAATAGTCCAAGATCATTTTGAATAAGGGACTGTTTAGACAGGGTTCGTTACAGATACACTACTGCTATCTTGGTAAAGAGGAAGGAATTCTTTTCATAATATATATTATTAAACTGTACACCAATTCAAAAGCAGCAAACAGGAAATGGTTTTAAGCATATTTAACGTTCCTTTTATGTGATTGTTCATCGGAAATGAAAATATTTATACGCAAGAGTTTTAATTTTAAAAACATACTCTTCACAAATTTGATCGTATTTGCAAAATGTTTCAAGCGTTATCAAGTCATGAGTCCCACACTGGGAGGTTTATCTTGAAATAGGTGTCTTATAGGGCCTTGATTCCTCCGATTCTAAGGGCTAGCTTTTGGAGTCTGGTTGGCTTTTGAAGTAGCCCATAGAATTTGCTTTCTTCAGCAGCTTGAGAAGAGCACAGATTATATACATCGTTTCTCGTCATTGCAGTATTCCTTGCCCCTCGCTTTTTTTTTTTCCCTCCCTTTGCAGTTGTTCCTCGACCTTGCTTCTGTAGTTGCTCCTTTCTCTATCAACAAAATTCGTTCAATTACAAGAAATTAAATAATATACCATAGACCAAGGTAGCCCCCGTTGGGAAGGATAAGATGGTTTTGTGAGTTGTGATTAAAGTTTGTGCTTTATCTACTTTTTCGGTGCAAAAGACTTTTGTGTGAGTTAGTTGTTAAAAACTAGAATAAAAGCTATTCATAAAATTTTGTCTGACATAGTGTGCTAAAATCCATCTGGGTCTTACCTTTTTTTGCAGGATGGGAGAATTGATTTTGCAGAGTTCTCGGCGATGATGAAGCAAAGCGATGGCGGCGGTGTCGGTCGGAGCAGAACCATGAAAGGCAGTTTAAACTTCAATATGGCAGATGCCTTTGGAGTGCAAGACTCATCCTGATAAGCTAACATAGACCTCTCTTTTTTTGTACAGTTAGAAAGCAAATAACTGTAGATGACAAGTCAGTCTTTAACAGCTTTGAGATTTTGAGATGTCTATTTTGCGTTGGAATGTTCTATTTCTTTTTAGCTCAATTGATGGATTTCTTAAATTTGGTAGATATGCTACTCATCATCTCATAAACCTCTTCCCATGGCTGATCTTTCTCTGACCAATGTAGTTATCAAATCGTTGTTATTTATGTGTATCTATTAAATTGAATCTTCTTCTTCATTCATACCTTTAGAAAGGGTGACAAACAAAAAATTACATGTGAATTTTATATACAAAAGGAAAAACGACAAAAAAGACTGTCGAAATAGAAAAATTGCATTCAGAGATCAGTTTATAAAAATTGTTGTCAAAATCCATACTATTACTATCAAAACCCATTCTAATGTTGTCATAGATCCTTATTTATAATTTTTCTATTTCGGTCTATATAAAATGTCTCTTCTTTTGAGATGATTATAAAATACATTCAATCTTATGAATATATATATATATATATATTTATAAAGAAACTGTATTGGTGCCTGGTGTTCATCTGGTTGATTAAAAGTGAAGTCATTTATGATCTCATATTGAGCACTTTTTCTGCGTAAATCATAGATACTATTTCTAACTGGGCCGGGCGTTTGGCTTTTTTTGTTTTGTTTTTGCAGTTGTTCTCAAAGTCGTGATGAGATTTTTTATTATGATTGAATTGAACTTTAAATTCCATATATCTATGGAATTTGATCAAATAACAAAAGTGAGGTAAAATGTAAAATTTGAATATCTATAACGTAGTTAAAAATTTTTCATATTGATCAACCATCATCCAACACATAAAAAGAGTCAATCTACTTTTCAAACGTCAGCAAAATAAATAATCCCTCCAATTTTTAATATAACAATAAAAATCATTTATGGTTTTTTTTTTTGGTGATAGTTATTGATGTTTTCTTTTGACCATTGATATTTGATATTAAACTTCTAAAATCTGATCCCAACCTAAATTTTCAAAATCCTAAGAAGAAAACAATGGTAACCGTGGCCCCCACCCTATCATCTTGCCACAGTGCTGACGCGGGAAGATAGGGTGTTGTCCAGCAGCTATTATATTTATGTCACTCGTCCTCCTACGGTCATTCCCTACCCACCTGACCTCTGTGATGCGGCACCTTCTCTTCCAATAAATCGAAGGATCCAATATAAAAAGTAAATGGGAATTTTTGACATTTGAGACAAAGTGAGAGAAAAACAGATTTTTGAGAATTGAAGCGGAGCATGAGAGAGAAGGAGAAAAAGTAGGGGGAAGGTGCGGGAAGAGGTAATAGGAACAAGATCAAACAAACCCACTGGGGAGAAATCCACATTTACTTACCATTGAATTGAGGTTGAAATGAAGAAGAATAGTGTTCCATCAATAGCTTCTTTAGCAAATTCCCTTTCGGTCTTGCCATATCAAACTCCGAGACTCAGAGATCATTTCCTTCTCGGCAAGAAGCTAGGCCAAGGCCAATTTGGCACCACATATCTCTGCACCCAGAAATCGACAGGGAAGCTTTTTGCCTGCAAATCGATCCCTAAGCGAAAACTATTGTGCAAAGAAGATTATGAGGATGTATGGAGGGAGATTCAGATCATGCATCATTTGTCGGAGCATCCTAATGTGGTTCAAATACAAGGAACGTATGAAGATTCTGTGTTCGTACACATAGTTATGGAGCTTTGCGCTGGGGGTGAGCTTTTCGATAGGATCATTCAGAAGGGGAATTATAATGAGAAAGAGGCGGTCAAGTTGATAACGACCATTGTTGGCGTCGTGGAAGCTTGTCACTCTCTTGGGGTCATGCATAGGGATCTGAAGCCCGAGAATTTCTTGTTTGAAAATCACGAAGAAGATGCCAAGATGAAGGCTACGGATTTTGGGTTGTCTGCGTTCTACAAGCCAGGTTGATTTTGGGCATCGTCCCAATTTTGTCGTCTCCTATTAGAAAATGCTCTCTGATCTCTTACTTTTGTTTATTTCTCGTGATTGTTCTTGTGATTCTAATCATTAAGAGAATCGATGGTTCCTTTTGTTCCTGTTGTTCAATATTGGCTGATCAATTTGCATTCTATTATGTGTTACCATTGTTTCTGTGGCAGATACCCTTTTTGATGGTTGTTTCTCGTGTTAAGAACACTGTATTTTGTCTTCTTGTATACGCAGCTTCTTTCTTGGATTGTCTCTATCCGTGCTGTGGTCCCACTGTTATTGTTAAGTTTTTTTATACTATTTTGAAATTGTTTTTTGAAGCTACGCTAGCCGATGGATTTGAATCCTAGCACTATATGGTGGATTTCCCTGGACCAAGTGGATTATGGTTTGTTATATGTGTCAGAGTGTCATAAAACAGGAGTCTCATTTTAATTCCGTTGTTTGATTCATTTGTATTGATGTTAGTTGTGCATAGCCATGTATTTAGGTGTTCTCTCATGCATATGCCTTAATTATCACTTTTTGTTTGGACTAAGGGATTCAGTTTTTCAAAAAAAAAAAAAAAGACATTTTGCCCCTGATGCTTTGGTTATCATTTTGATTAACGACAATTCATCAATACGTAATCATTTTTCCTCTTGTCAGGTTTAGTTAATCATGACCTGCCATCACCTTTTCTTTGTTTTCTCGTCTCCCTCCAGGAGAATCCTTTTCTGATGTGGTTGGAAGTCCCTATTATGTTGCGCCTGAGGTGCTGTGCAAACATTATGGACCAGAAGCGGATGTGTGGAGTGCTGGTGTTATCTTGTACATCTTGCTGAGTGGGGTCCCGCCTTTTTGGGCAGGTGAGGATTTTAATGTGTATCTGTGATTTCTTGGGCTTGCAGATGTGAAATTTTTCTTGTCCATACAGAATCGCCTCTACGGTTTTGTGATCTTTATCCCTCAGCTACATTGACTTTTTCCTATCACTTGCAGAAACTGAGGCCGGAATTTTCAGACAGATTTTACATGGAAAGCTAGATCTTGAGTCTGAACCATGGCCAAACATCTCAGAAAGTGCTAAAGATTTGGTAAAAAATATGCTTGAGAGGGATCCCAAGAAAAGAATCTCTGCTCATGAAGTTTTATGTGAGTTCCTTGACTTGGTGTAGCATTCCAGGGAATTATTGCACCACAGCTCTGTATAAATCTAATGACTATGGAATTTATGTATTCAGGTCATCCTTGGATCGTTGATGATTCAGTTGTCCCTGACAAGCCTCTGGATTCTGCTGTTTTGTCACGGCTGAAGCAGTTCTCAGAAATGAATAAACTTAAGAAGATGGCACGGCGCGTATGTTATAATGCTATTCACTCTTCACTGTTATTTTAGTTTTGATGTATGAGTAATGATATAATATATTATCTGTAAGCTTTATAATGCTCAGCCAATCAAATAAGATTAGATCTTCATTAGTTCATGGCATTGTTTGAAACACTTTGGTACTTTGCTTTTTCCTATTTTTAAGTGTACTATTTTTTTAACAGAATTTTTATGTATACTATGAGTTATTGAGAATAGTATCCATTTATGTGGTTTGAACAAAGTAAAGTAATTTGGTTCCTTATGAAAGACCATAACTGTCTGTGTCTCATAGTATAGATTATAGAATGCCCAGAGACCTGTCGTGCTGATGTCTAAAATAAACACCTAGGATTGCAATCTTAAAATGTTCTGTTAACTGATAGATGGGGATTGTCTAAGTCCATGTCAAATGTTATCTATCTAATTATGCTGAGAATTGCCGATGTCTGTTTTGGTGACTCTAATTGCCTCGTATTTTAGAAGTGAATGCGTAAGGTATCTTTAGCTGTAGTAGAATTTTCTACGTGGTTTAAAAAATAGACTTGAGGTTTTCTGGAACTGATCTCTGATCATGCTGGATTTGACATTGTCAAGGGCAACTCTCATCTGTCCATATTTTTATATTAGGAATCTATCCAAATCAGGTGCTAATATTTCACATAAATATTTCAGGTCATAGCAGAAAGATGTTCAGAAGAGGAAATTGGTGGTTTAAGGGAGTTGTTCAAAATGATTGACACAGACAACAGTGGAACAATAACATTTGAGGAACTCAAAGAAGGCCTCAAGAGAGTTGGTTCTAATCTGATGGAATCTGAAATTAAATCCCTTATGGAAGCGGTAGGTAGATAATTTTAAAAAGTATTTAAAAAGGAAAGGATTTTTTTTTTTCGTTTTTCATTTTTCTTAAATGCTAATACAAATAACTTGTTCTAGTTTTCAATAACTTTCTAATTTTCGTTGCCTTTCTTTTAGTTGATTTCAGTGACCCTTGATCGCCTCTCATGAATTTTGGCAGGCTGATATAGACAACAATGGAACGATAGATTATGGTGAATTTCTTGCGGCCACGCTGCACTTGAATAAGATGGAAAGAGAGGAGAATCTGGTTGCAGCCTTTTCCTATTTTGACAAAGATGGCAGTGGTTACATCACCATTGATGAGCTTCAACAGGCATGTAAAGATTTTGGCCTAGGTGATGTACATCTAGATGAAACAATCAAGGAGATTGATCTAGACAATGTAAGTTTTCTAAGTAAATCTGTTTGTGCCTCATCTCTATAAATCTAAGGTCAATTTGTTCTGGTTTCTATTCAATTAGTTATTCTTCTTTGTTTAGTTTTACTTACTACCTTGTTGTTACATGACTATTTAATTTTCACAATAAACTTTGCTACCTCGCTTGAACTTATTAGCGTTATTACCTGTAAGATGGGACAAACTGGGCAGACCTTTGTTGCTTCTATTATAAGTCTTTGATTTCTATTAGAGATCTTGGATACTTTTGGCCTCTTACACTTGAAGCAGCTTTTGCTTTGTCAAGATGTTGCCATTATTGCATCGTGTAATTGGGTTATCTCAATCAGATTATCAGATGATATTTATGGTCAATAATCACTGAAATTATCTCATTAAGGGTTCATAGGTGAACTGCAATATTCTGACTTGTGAATCAGGTTCTATATAACTAAATGTGAAACACCCAAGAGCAGTGGTGTTCATGGGATGAGATGGACCCGTCCCGGCAAACAGGGGCGGGACGTGGCTGTCACCTGTCTGGTTCTGTCGGGACAGGATGCCGCATCCCCTTTTATTCAAACCACTGCAATTTTGGGCCAGACAAGTATAATAAGCAGACAATTTGGGCTTTCTTGTTCTTGGAGTTTGAATCCCTCTAATATAACATTAAAAAGTATGATAAACAGAAGGTTTTTGTTATATTTACTGGTATTTAATTCAGACAAGTAATTGTTGAGTGGCTATAAGATCGTGCTTTGAAAGACTGCCTGTGAATTGGCAGTTTTGCTGGGTTTTACATTTTCAACCCAGCTAGAATCACTTATTCTTTCTTTGACTTCTTTTGGGGAGTTTGTGTTAAAGTTTATAATCAAGTTATTCTTAGAGACTCTATGATCTGATGATCAAAACAAGATTTGTGCTTGATCTGCATTTTTATTGCAGAGGACATTTGTCTGAGTTGATTGTTAAAAACTAGAATAAAAGCCATTCATAGAACTTTGCAGCATAAATTTAAGAATGCTAAAATCCATTTATGTCTTGCTCTTCTGCAGGATGGGAGAATTGATTTTGGAGAGTTCTCGGCGATGATGAAGCAAAGCGATGGCGGCGGTATCGGTCGGAGCAGAACCATGAAAGGCAATTTAAACTTCAATATGGCAGATGCCTTTGGGGTACAAGACCCATCCTGATAATCTGACATAGACCTCTCTTTTTTTGTACAGTTAGAAAGCAATGACTATAGATGACTAGTCTTTAACAGCTTCAAGATTTTGAGATATTTCTTTTGCTTTGGAATGTTTTATTTCTTTTTAAGCTCAATTAATGGATTTCTTAAATTTGGTAGCTAAACTTCTCATGGCTGATCACTGACCGGTGCAATTATCAAATCATAATCATTTTATGTAACTATTAAATTGAATCTTCTTCATTCGTGCCTTTAGAAAATGTGACAAACAAAAAAACTACCATTTGAGTCTTATTTATAATTTCCCCCCCTTTTTGAGATGATTATAAAATGCAATTCAATCTTAGGAATATAAATAAAAGAAAATGTATTGTTGTTGGTTATTTTTTGAGTTATTGAGATTAATTAATGTTTTGGTAAACGTTTTTTCAGTTTATTTCATTTGCTTTATCAAAAGTAAGTCATTTGTTGGTCTCATACTGAGTCCTCTTTCCACATTAATCATGCATGCTACTCCCTCCGTTCCTTATTATAAGAGACACTTGATGCTTATGCCATGTTCTTATATATAAGAGACACTTACAAGTTGTCTCTACTTTTTTGTGTTGATTTACTATTTTACCCATATTTATTATCTCCAACTCACACTCTCTCTCCCTCCCACTTCTCTTTCTTGTAATAATTTAATTGTTCTCTCTGCTCTCTCTCCTTATTAATGAGGGTATTTTTGAAAAAAAATTATACTTTTCATACATTGATTGTTCTTAACTAACTTTAACTGTTTTTTTGATCAACGTACTTCGGTTATTTGTCTCTTATAATAAGGAACGGAGGGAGTATTTCTGATTAAGCGTTTGGGCAATTTTCTCTTCTTTTTTTTTGGTTTCAATTGTTGTCTAAAGGGTGTTTGGCAACTTCCAAACTATAATTTCAGACGTACTTTTTCACAAAACGAGATAAATTTCTCCATATATTTACTTCGTAAACCGTAAAAACATTTCTGAAATCATGGTTTGATTTCTATTCAAACACTCCCTAAACCATGTAATGAATTTTTTTTTTTATTATGCTTGAATTGAATTTTAAATTCCATACATTTATGGAGTTAGATTAAATGACAAAAGTAAGTTGGAATTTAGGTACAGGTACAAAATCTAAATATCTATAATGTGGTAGAAAATTTTCGTGTATTGATCATCCATCATTCAACACATAAAAGAGGCAATATATTTTTTCAAACATCAACGAGATAAACAATCCCTCCAATTTCTAATATAGAAGCTAGTCTAGAAGATTGTTTAATATCAAATATAAAACCTCAATCTAATTTATCTTATATATTTATCATTTTTCTAAATAAATAAATATATAATATAAAAAGATGAAAATATATTTTCAACATAATTTACGCTTGCATAAGGAGAGGGGCAAATCAGTCTTTTGAGAGAAAACGGATAGGATAGGGCCTCTCGGGCATCTTAAGAAGATGGCGTTCAAGAGAACGAGACACGAAGCTCTCCTCTCAGTGCTTCGAGCCTGAGAGAGTCCCTTGGCTCAAACATGGCTGCCTCTTCTCTTTCCTTGTGCGCTTCATTCGCCTCCAATCTCACCCTCTCTCACAAGCAACAAGCGTCTTCATTCCTCTCTACTTCTTCTTCCTCTTCCACACTCTCCCACTTCTCTCGCCTTCCCTCTCCCAAGCTCTCTTCCCATTCCATTTTCTCCCCACGCCTTCCCTTCCCATCCCTCCCCAAATCATCGGAATCTGAGACCGCACTGGCTGAAACTGAATCTCCGGTGGCTCAGGTTGAACCTCAGGCATCGGAGGTTGGAGCCGTCGAAGCTGTCGAAGCCTCCCCTCAAGAGCAGGCTCCGAAGCGGGAAGAAGTTTTTGCTGTTGTAATGGTGAGTTAGGATTACCAGAATGGTTAGTTTATTCAATGTGGTTTGGAATTGTTGACGAATGATGGCGAACTCTGTAATTTTGTTAACTTTGTTTGTGTTGATTTTCGCCCATATGATTTTTCTTTTGATTAAACTATCAATCTGGCCCCTAGATTGTCAGGCCCATTTGATTTTAGTCCCTGGAAATAAAGTGTATTTAGTCCTTGTGCAAAGTGGTAAGAATGGCAGAAGGAAGGTGCATCGAGTTTATTATTTTTGGCATGAAAACATGAATGTGTCAAGCACAACGAAATGTTAATTTAGTCTTTTCTTCTTTTTCTTTGTCCATTTTTCATCCTTTATATTTGTGCGAAATTATGAATTGTGGCTTTTCCAATTGTTTTGACCGTTTTTTAATGGTATTTTGGATACGGCTTTCAACTGGCATAACTGATAATTGATACCTTGTCTTCTTTAGCTTTCAACTAATAATCTTTTTGCTTTGTTCAGATTGGTTCACGCCAATATATCGTTTTTCCTGGGCGTTTCATATATACTCAGAGGCTCAAAGGTGCTAATGTTAATGATAAGGTACAGTGTTGTTTGCTTCTCCTTAATTGCTGCCAAATGACTCCTAGTAATCCATCATTCACTTTTATTCCTTCAGCTGTAGCTCTGCGTTGTTCCTTCATTGAAACCAATCCCTTCTGTTCCCTGTTTTGCTTTCGATCATTGCCTATTTGCAACTCGTGATTTCACTTAGGATTTGACATTTATGAAATTATTAAAGTTGATGCTATCGTTGTTATTGTAATGAGGGTGGCCTGGTGGAATTATTAACAGAATAGCAGTGAGTTAACATAGACTAACATGTATACGTACCTAAATTACTATATGTTATTCTTGCTATTATATGTTTAACCATCGTGGATGCTTCCTAAGAATGTGGAACTTTTCTAAACGCCTTTTGTTGTCATATGAACTGGGTAATATGGTTTATGAAAGTTTTAGTCCCCCAATGCAAGTAACAGTGCTCCCTAAAATTTGTTCAGAAATTGATTATTATAAAGGTCTCCTAAAGACTATATACTTAACGTTTCTTAGTATCTAATTTAGACCTCATGTCCAGGCTAGTAGTTTAAGACACGTCAGTTTTTCTAACTTACCAGAAGCCCAAAAAAAAAAAAAAATCGTGTGGCAATTAGACCATAAATCTTACAAACGCACTCATGTATGAATTGTCGGCCTGCTGCCTCTGTTAGAGCAACGGTACTACTATATGGATGTATGCCTTCGATCTTCAAACTTTATTTTCTGTACTGTTAATTGGAATTAAGCTCTTGAGCAGATCACCCTAAATAAGGTGTTACTGGTTGGCACAAGGACAACTACCTATATTGGTAAACCAGTGGTGACAAATGCTGTTGTTCACGCCACTGTTGAAGAGCAGGTACATCTCTTTCACTCCTACTCCTGCAAATGGAAAAAATATTTCTCTACCTTTACTCATATAATCCGAAATGCAGGGTTTAGATTCGAAAGTGATTGTCTTCAAGTATAAAAGAAAGAAGAAATACAGGAGAAACATTGGTCACCGACAGGTATTACAGTCTTTTCTTTAAGTAAGAATTATTATTGAAAAAACTTCTGCAATTAAATTGGGCCGCTACAAGTGGCTTCATCTACCATTCTAATCTATGGTATTGATTTTTGTCCTCTTGCTTTATTATTATAAAGTTATTGTTGATCAACTCAACCAAGGATGAAATTACACACCTCATTGTGCTTGCTGCGGTAGAGCTTCTGTCCATATATTGTTTGCTAATTCTGATTTCTATTGATTATACAAGAAATAGAAAAGGACAATCTCTCTCTCTCTCTCTCTCTCTCTCTCTCGCACGCACTGGCGTTGCATTGCATATTAGAGCTTTTCTACTATGTATTTTCTCTTTAGGGTAGAATCTGGTGATATGGACTGGCTGAGCTTTCCGAAGTGCTTTTTAAGGAAATCCTCACCTTCTTGTTTTTTGAACATTACTTCTTTCCTCGTCTTCTTTAATTTCGGGTTGGAGCTATCTTTTTAAAGAGAGGTTCGTGCTGATGATAATTAGTTCCCGCCCCCATGTGGGAAAATTCCCACTGTGTCCCAATTCACTACCTCATATGAACCCTTTAGCTAATCTGGGTGTAATTTAATTTCAGTCCACATTCGGGAATAATTTTGAATATTGTTTGTTCTCATAAACCAAATGCTTAATTCTTTTTATGATGTTTGACTTGGTTTCCAACTCATTGTTACAGCCAAATACACGGATAAGGATAAATAGCATCTCAGGCTATGAGGACTACCCAGCAGTTACCCTGGATTCTCTGAACTCTTAGGATAGATTCAAATCTCTATTCTGCCAATGTCTGTATCTTTCTCAATGTTACATTTAAATTTTCTTTAATCAATGATGAGGTTGCAGAAAGTTTTATCTCGCCTGTTCTTACATTTTCATGTCCATGTTTTGATTTTCATGAACCATTGTCAGTCTATGCACAACGATCAAATGTAGTTTGTGATGCATATAGCTGTCATTTTGCTGTCAGGGTAAGAATAATGGGGTGCATTTATTTATTGTTTAATTAATAATAAATTGATTTCCTTTTTGCTTCAATCTAATGATGCCAGCTATTTGTTATTTCTCAATTTTCCATTAATTCATTTGTTTAAGTTATTTTTTTTCCAGACAATATTAAGTTAGTGTTGATTCGAGTGACTGGACTTAAAAATTCTTTCTTTCTTTCTTTCTTTCTTTCTTTCTTTCTTTCTTTTTAAATCAGAAAGGGAAGTGGGATTAAACCCACAACTTCCTACATGCATGGGCGGTAGAAGGCTATTGAATTAAAAGAATTTTTCTAATATGTACATTTCCTATTCAATTGAGTCAAATCAGAATAATAATGAAGATTTTGCTCCCAAAAAAAAAAAAAAAGAATAAGAATGAGATGTTTATGTGTCTAATCCAAATGGATACTCTTTTTAAACATAAATATAGAAGTTTGATGGAGAATTTTAATAAAGAACAACTAAAGGGGCTTAATTACAAATTAGATCCAAATTTTTTTGAAATTTCACTATAGATTATAGAGTCAATGAGCTGCTTTGATACTATGTTTTCATGGTCAATTATCACAATACTCTCCACTAATTAAAAAAATTTCCATTTCTACACATCACTAATGCTGGACTTGTTATAATCTTAGTAGAACTTGTCTTTTTTTTTTCCCCCCATCGAACTTGTCATTCCAATGGCCTTTACTTGTAAATTTGTTACAAAGACTCAAATAAATCTTGTTGTCAAGTTTTTTTTTTTGGTAGATCGAAAAGTAAAATTTAATAAAATGACAAGTTTATTTTTCTTTTTGCCAAGTATACTTCAAATTATAAATACTAACTTTCTATATATTGAATAGAGTTGATACAATTTTTAATCTCTTAATTTTACTTTCATTTTGATTTTAATCTTTTAAATTTCAAATCATAAGTTTTGGTTCTTTTAACTTTTTTCATTTAAAATATTTGTTCGTATAATTTAATAAAAATTTAGACTATTTTATAGTTTAAAATTTAAAAGATCAAAACCAAAATGAGAGAAAATTTAATCGACTAAAAATTATATTAAGCCTATTGAGTATTGTTGATAAGTTTCTTTTGATGAATTAACAAATAAATGTTAGTGAAATGAAAAATTCATTTCTATTTAGACAAGTACCCTTCATATTATAAAGAAACTTTCTATAGAACACATTCCTTTTAGGGAGAATTCTTAAAAAAATATCATTGAACTTCAAAATTGCAAATGAGTCTTGTTTACTACACTTTAATAACAATTGATAATATCTGAAAAATAAATAACAACACATTTTTGCAATTATTTCTAATTTGAAATTCTGAAATTTTAAAAGTGTTTTTTGGGATTTTTCCTTCTTTTTACAGTTTACGATTTCTATTTTCTCACACATTTATTTTGTATAATATAAAATTACTTTATGTCTTTGATTTTTTTTAACCAGATACTTTATGTCTTTGATAAGTGAAGGGTAATTTGATAATCGAATATGAAAGTATAACATCAAATCAATCCTTTTGATTTTGCGGCGAAATTTCAAAATATTTTGAGATCTATCCCTTTCATCAAATTGATCCTTTTGATCTTGCATCAGAATGTTTTGAGATTAATTTGAAATTATACCCTTTAGCAATCCTCTATTGAAAATTTCTTTAACTAGTTTACAACGATTAAAAAAGTTATTCAATTTAATTATTTTTAAAAGTATGTATTGATTATTTTAAAATATCTCAATTCATATATTATATCCTTCTGGGTATTTTTTGGGCCTATCGATCTCTGCTAGACTTCAATATTAGTCATTTTTAACCAAGAATTGGCCAACACATTTACCAATAAGAACCACTTTCATAACAATCTAAATATTATATATAATCATGCTTTCACCATAACTAAGCAGCATGTTCAGAATTAGATCATAAATTTGCCTTTAGCAGGAGCAGGCAACCATTAGCCACTACTTCGTTCATATTTGTATATTTGAATTTAAAAGTCAAAATTGTACTACCGGTCCTAATTATAAGATCTTATTTATAATCTACAAATGAGATCTTATAGTTAATATCAGAAATAGTATTGTAAAAGCATTATTATTCGAAGTTGTTGAGCAACTGGGGAAGTTAATGAGAACCAACAGAGAAACGTTTCCCTCCGTTTTTTTTTTTAATGATATACTCCCCCTACCTTCAAATATAAACCAAACAAAAAAAAATTACTTCATGCTTATTAAAAAAATTAAAATGATTCTTTTTTAATTGTATAGTAAATTAGTTTTTTTCATTTGATCAAGGAATTTTCCTTTTGAGGCTTAGAGCATAAATAATTTTGGTCTCTCACAAGCGCGTTTTCTGAAATTTGAATTTGCATTATCCTCTTTATAAGAATAAAACTGCTTACCACCTTAACTAATAGTTTATTGGTAATAAATTAATTTTTTTTAAAAAAAAACCCTTGTATGATGTTTACTCGTTTGATAATATTCATTTATTATACTAGTGAAATGATAGGCAAAGTATAAAACAATTAAGCAATCATATATGAGAATAGAAGGGATGACCAATCTGAATTTGAATTTACAGGTTTTTTTTTTTATAATTCTTTACGTGGTAAGCCTGTTTTGGAAACTCAGAGGGTCACTTTGCACAAAACTTAAAAATAAAAAATAAAAGATTTGCCATCAAACTGTTAGTTGAAATGATAAACAGTCTCACCTGGTAAATAGAAGAACACAAATTCAAATATCTAAAAACGTACTTGTTGGAAGAACTTTAACTTTAATATTTTTGACCTAATAGAAATCAATTTTAAGTTTAAAATAATTTAAGGATACTTTAAGTTATAAATAAAATAAATAAAAATTAGATAAAATTGAAGGGGTTCGGCCGAAATAACGAGAGTTAGTGGGGTTGTTTTGTAATTCCGTTGTACTGACGGGGATCAACTCAGGCCCAGAAAAAAATGGCCTCGATAAATAGAGGCTTCGCAAGATGAGTCAACAGTGCGAAAAGCCGTCCTCAAATCTCAAATCCCAAAATCTCTTTGGTGCGTCCCTGTTCGAGACCAGCCATCCTCTTCCTCCCTCCCTCCTTCACTCCATCTAAATTCGTCTCTTTTCGCCTGCGGTAGAAGATGTCGGGCAAGGGAGCGAAGGGTTTGATCACAGGCAAGACCCCCGCCGCCAACAAAGACAAGGACAAGAAGAAGCCTATTTCCCGCTCTTCTCGTGCTGGTCTTCAGGTCTTCCTCTAGATCTCTGTCTTTTTATTACTTCTTTCGGGATCTTCACATCCTTGGGTTAATCTGCTTCACTCATTGTTCCTGTGTACGATTTTCGTTCGTATAGATGGTTTTGTTCTGAAATTTAGTGTCTTTGCTTCTTTGTTCACGTAACTCTGTATGAGCGCGGCATTTGTATTAAACTTGTTCAGAAAGTTCATGGGTTTTGATTGTTTAATTGCTTTATTATTTGTAACCATAGCCATTTGTATTTGAATTATTGGTTAGTCGCCAATGGAAGGCACGGCTGTTGAAATGTGTTCGCAGTCGCGCTGTTACTTTTACTGTTTTACATCCCTGAACTGGGCGGCAGTTTGACTATTGGACTCAAATTGAATCGTTATTTTCCTTAAAACATATGCAGCTGGCTACAATATTGAATAGGAAGCATTTATCTTCCAATTAAACCTGGAAACATTATGCTGCTGATTTTTTATGTTGGAATGGAGAATGGTTGGGTAGGCAGGCAATTAAGTTGGTAAACCAATCAATGTATTGTGATCTCTAATACGCAGACAAATCAGTTTGAAAGAATTAGTAGACCCCCTGTTTGGGTATTTCTGGGGTTTGGGGAGAAGGGAGGGGTGAGGTTGGGGTTATCTTGAATAGCATTGCAGCACCATTGATTTTGAAATTAATCCTTTCTTGCTCGCCGACAGGGGGTATTAATAAATAAGACTGAGCATTATTTTTATGTGAGATATTAAGACTGAGTGTGTTATTAATAAATAAGGACCAAGGCAAAGCCACCTTGAGTCATAAAAAAAAAAAAAAGAAGGTTCTTATGTTTTATTTACTGTTTGGAAGTGTTTGTCTGATATGATTGTCCCACACGTGTTGGTCTATGGCAAGACTTTTCTTGCCCCATAAGTGTCTTTGGTTAGTAGGTATATTTGCAATATTGCGGTAGTTGGCTTCATTTTGTTTGCGGAAGGGGTTAATGGGGAGAGAGATTCTAATGTAATATAACGTTTCTTTGGGACTCTTCTAAACTGTTGGATCTGGACTATAGAAAAGAAAATAATGGGGGGAATGCTACTAAAATGGAACATATAGTGCTGGTGGTTTTGTTGATTGTAATAAGTGACATAGAAGCTGCTTGTTCTTGTCTTATGTACGTTTCTTCTATCTGCAAAATTCGCAGTTTCCAGTTGGACGTATTCACAGGCTGTTGAAGTCAAGGACAACAGCTCATGGTAGAGTAGGAGCCACAGCTGCTGTGTACTCTGCTGCTATCTTGGAGTATTTAACAGCTGAAGTTTTGGAGCTGGCTGGGAATGCTAGCAAGGATCTTAAGGTTAAGCGTATTACTCCCAGACATCTACAACTTGCTATCCGGGGTGATGAAGAACTTGATACATTGATAAAAGGAACAATTGCTGGAGGAGGTGTTATCCCTCATATTCATAAATCTCTTATCAACAAGTCTTCCAAGGAGTAGATTGCTAAAGAGCTACTTGATTAAATATTCTCTCTCTCTCTCTCTCTCTCTCTCTCTCTGCGCTAACTGTGCCTTTGTTGATGTACTTCTTAAAATAGCAGCGCAAAGTAGCCTACAGTTGTCATTTATGATGGATAAACTTGAGTCTGCTGTGGATATTGAGTATTTTATCTTGGGATAGCTGTTTGGTACATTGGATAACTTAAAAGAGTAGTAGAATTTCTTTTCCAATCATACCAATGGAATAATGCCTCTTGCCTGATTGATAAAGTTCTTCTTGGTGGGATATGTTTGAGGCAATGCCGTTTTTCATTGGGTTCCACTTGAAACTTTTCTCCTTTTTCTATATGCCACTGCTAATTGTCACTCGCCGTTCCCCTTGGGATCAAGAACTGAGGTTTCAACAAGCTGGTATTTTTAGTTGCTGGTTGTCGTAAAGCAAAATGATTGTGACAAATGAAAGTGATCATGGTAATTTTGTTGTGGGTATGATATATGATTGTGATGATCGATGTGAAGGGATGATGAATGGATCGTGTTTTTCTTTTGGGTATGCTAAGCACGTAGAAGAAGGCATGTTGATCAACTTGAAACGAAAACTGGACTTGTCAGTTGTCAGATACGCTTAAACACTTTTAAGCAGATTGGTTTCCAACACGGTTTGTGTAAATGTCTGTTTAATTTATATGTTCATATTTGGGTGATTATCTATGGGAGAATTAAAGTTAAAGATTCAGTTTAATATTGTTAAAAATTGTAATCAGAATGAAGGACCAAAGCGAATAAAACGTGAAATGACTCATACCCGACACCTCCCCTGCCTTGTTGCTGCTTCTCTTCTTGCAGCAAAGATTGAAGATCTGCAGATTAAACTATCACTAGCATCCAATATGCGTAATTGTGAATTAAAGGTCATTTTCATTCCAGTATGAAAAATCAAACCCCAAAATCACCTTATAAGTAAGGACACAACAAAGATACTGCCTCCAGGTTTGTGACAGATTAAGGAATGATCAGTCCCAATTTCACACACAAGCATTTTAAGTCCTAGACCTTCCACATGACCGTGCTTAATATTTTCCATCAAAGACGTATAAAATACAGTGTGAACTGGGTTTTGTGTGCCCCGTCAAGAACTGCAATTTCTGATACCGTGAAATGTTTGAATGAAGCTTGATGGGAATAAATAGAAGGCCCTGTTATAGGAATTACAAAAGGAAGTCCTGGTGAGTGTTAACTTTAACGTTGATTAATCAAAAAGGGATGGGGGGCTCATTTTCGCTCAATCTTGTATTTATGGAACTAAAGTTACAAATTCACAATGCAGATTTGAAATATTCATCGAATCCGTACGAGGCAAGGCATTAATTAGAGATTGAATAATATAAAGGATAAAAGTGCAATTTCATCTCTAATTTTATTTCTTATGTGCACTCAGTTTCCAGATTTTTTCAATAGTACAGTTTTACCTATGATCCCAAATTAGCCAATTAGGTTTTTTATTAAAAACAAGGAAGCTATAAGTAATGCAACTATGAATCTCATAGAGAGTTCGATCCTGGCTCAGGATGAGCGCTGGCGGCATGCTTAACACATGCAAGTCGAACAGGCAGTGGTGTTTCCAGTGGCAAACGGGTGAGTAACGCGTAAGAGCTTGTCCTTGGGAGAGAAACAACAGCTGGAAACGGCTTGGGAGAGAAACAACAGCCAGAAACGGCTGCTAATACCCCATAAGCTGGGGAGCAAAAGGAGGAATCCGGGTATATTGACAGTTTAGAATAAACTGTTATGTAAAAGTTCGTTTGGATTTTCTTTAGCCAAATCTGATCTACATTTAGATATGGTTTTGTAAGAAAAAATCAATGACATAAATTTGTTTGAGTAGTCATCAAAATATTCAAATTTGACTAAAAGCCAAAAGTTAGAAATAAAAAATAATTGCATTTGTAAAAGACGTGAAAAGATTATAAGAATATACTAAAAATAAATTTAATGGTTCAGTCACGCAAACCATATGGGATTGATCTTCCGTACGGATACATGATTTTGCAAATTTTCAAGCACGAGAAGCTGCCGTTTAGGATTTGAACCTTGGTTGAACGCTCCAAACATTTTACAACTAAACAATTACAGACCAACAAAAAGATTCTGAGATACAAATCCTCAGCAGAATCATAGCCCAACCACCAATAACAGGCATATTAAAAGCCCACCACAACTAGAAACCTACAACCACTCTCAATCAATTCCTACAATCTTATCTTCGAAAGCAGTCATCATGAATTAGAGAAAACCCAATTAAGATGACTCAACAGGCAGAATGGCCACTATCTGATGCTGATTCACTCCGAATACCCCATTTTCAAGAGGACTCACGGCATGTTAAGCTGGTAAGGTTCTTTGCTTTGCATTGAATTAAAGCAAATGCTCTACCGAGAATCTATTCATCATTTAGATGGTTGACACCCTGGGAACATCAACAGGGAAGTTGTGAATCTCATTCATCCAAGGGTTCTTCTCCTTCTCAGGCTTGATGGTTCTGAGTGCCTTCCACACTGCGCTGTTACACTTGAATCCAGAACCAAATGCTATCTGCCATGTTCTGTCTCCCTTCCTTATCCTCCCTTTGGCTTCCGTGTAAGCCAATTCGTACCACAATGAACTGCTAGATGTGTTGCCAAACCGATAAAGAGTCATCCTTGATGGTTCCATATGCCAAGGAGACAGCTGCAAGTTCTTCTCCAGTTCATCCAGCACAGCTCTACCCCAGCATGGATGCAGAAGTGATCAAAAGCTAGCTTGAAATCTGGAATGTAAGGTTTGATCTTCATCTTGAAAAGCTTCTTCCCGACTAAAGTAGCAAAGAATAGCAACTGCTCTGACATTGGAAGGACAAGAGGTCCCAGTGTGGTAATGTTGGTTTTTAAAGCATCACCTGCAACAGCCATGAGATCCTTTGACAAAGTGACACCAACCTTGCCTTCAGTGTCTTCTTCTTGGGTAACACAGGAAAAGCACTTGTCATCGGCAGCCTTGTTAGTCCGAACAGTATGGACCAACCGGTATTTGGATCTTCTCCTGTCGGAGGATTTGTTTGAAAGCAGAACTGCAGCTCCTCCCATACGGAACAAACAATTCGAGACAAGCTTTGAGCGGTCATTTCCGAAATACCAGTTTAATGTGATGTTCTCCATGCTAATAACCAATGCATATGAGTTCGGATGGACCTGGAGAAGATCTTTGGCAAGATCAATTGAGATTAGTCCTGCACTACAACCCATCCCACCAAGATTGTAGCTCTTTATATTCCCTCGTAACTTGTAATGATTGACAACCATCGCAGACAGTGATGGAGTTGGGTTAAAAAGGCTGCAATTCACGATTAGAATTCCTATGTCCTTGGGCTTTACAGAGGTCTTGGCAAATAGCTCATCAATAGCACCAAACATCACAGCCTCAGCTTCTTTCCTGGCCTCTGCCATTGAAGGGTTAGGAGGAATGTTGAGGACAGCCTCTGGAAGGTAAGTGTTTTCTCCAAGACCAGACCTCTCTAGGATCTTACGCTGGAATGCAAGATTTTCCTCTGTAAAAGAACCAGTCATCTGGGATTGATCTACAAACATCCTTTTCGTGCATATTCGAGATTCGTCAGGCTTGTAACAGGAGAAATTGACGAGATAAACTGGTCGAGGGCGGGTCATAAAGTAGAGGGTAGACAGAAAAACAAGGAGTGTTGAGCAAATAATAACAGATATTAAATTGTACTGTAGATGCTCCCAAAGATCATAGAGGTCCTGGAGGGAGAAAGTCGAGAGCTGTGCTGCAATTAACACCACGAGAGGCGAAACAAAGAGGTACATCCCATGGGTGATGAGGTAATGATAACCAAGCTTGACATACTTCAATTTAACAGACTTTTTGAAATCGGGAAGGTTCCGCGATGATGGTGGTACCAATGGTGTATCTGGTTTATCCTCCGCCATGTTTCCTGCTCAAAAGTTGAATTCATCAGGTTAGATAACTTCCTGAAATGAAAGTATCATCACAAGGGGGATTAAGACATCCCCAGAGATGAACAGCTCAGAAGAATAAGATAACAACTACCCAAAAAAATCCTTCGACAACGAAAACTCATTCAAGTCCGAAACACTTTCTCTACATTAGATTTATAGAACCAGGTTAGGAAATCGATATGTGGAAAATTCGAAACATGCACGCGGAAAAGAAGCCAAACATAATCGTTTCTACACATAGGACAGCGGCATTCCCAGATCCTCTCAAAACAAACAAGCATGCGACCACATTCATGCAGAATATGAGCAGATTGAATGATGCTGAACAGTACAAAGCGGAATCCGCAGCAAGAATTCAATTCACATTAAAGTCACAAGAAACCAATGGAAGTTAGAAGTATCACTGACATAAGATAAAAATCATCAAGCATCGAAAAGAAGAGCGGAATCGCACCTTGAATGCCAATCCGACCACAGATCGCAGAAATCTCGCAGATAGAGAGCAAAGAGGAATCGAAAGAGACGGTGAAGGGGAAGAAAAAATGAAATGAGGCCAAAAATGGGAGAGCTTAAAAAGGGAATAATCGTTCAGGGCGGCGTAGTCGCGTATTGACCGGACGAGTCACAACGACATTGCCGTTGTAAACGGACGTCGCCAGCCAGCACTAGTCTGGAATTTGGACTTTGCCCTGTTAGATCCTCGCGTAAATGGGAAAGGTTTAAACATAATAATAATAAAAATAAAAATAATAATAATAAAGTCATGAGGTGGCGTTCCTTCCTTCCCTCCACTTTCGTTCCAATTCGCATTCTAGAAGGTCCTGAAGCTTACTTGTTTGGTCATATTTGGCTGGAAAATCGTTGGTTTTTATTTTAAATTGTGAGCATTCTTTTCTTTCCTCTTTTTCACAGGAATTTTGAGCTTTCTTTTTTTATTTTTCAAAGCGAAATTTTCCCCCCAACTTCTTATGAAAATATTATATATGTGTATAAGATATAGGAAGAATTATAATAATGTCTCAAGAAAAAAAATTATTAAAAAGTCCGAATAACAGCCTAAACAGTATGTAATAATAAGTTTTATAATAAAAAATTACAATTTTGAGACTTATTTTATAATTATTTTTTTCTTGGTACTCATTGTAATTCTCCCTAAAATATATAAAATAATAATACTCTCTTTGTATAAATAATTATCAAGTCCTACTTATCAGTAATTTTTTTCATGAAAATTTTTTCCCAGTATTCCCTTTTATTTATCAAATGAAAAAAAAGTTATTTTAAAAATATGAAATTATTAGACGACTTAAAGTTATTGATTCTTCTAAAAGCTGCGGCATAATGTTCTTAACCTTATATAAAAATACAAATAATAATTTTAAAAATGTTATTGTTAATTTGTTAAAGTACAAATGCTAATTTTGGAGTTTCAAAAAAGATTTTATTTTTAATGTGTTTCAAAATATTTTTTAAATTTTATGAATGTTTGAGGGAAAAAAAAAAAGTTTTTTGGCCAGAGAAAAAGTTTATTGATTAATGAATCAAGTCATCAACTAGCGATAAAATTAATTCTGAAGAAAGGGGATCCAACTTTCCTAGAAGAATCTCCTATATAACCATCGAATTGAAATCGAATTTTGAAATGGTCAAACGCTGACACTTTGAAAGACATTGAATATAACCACGTAACTTCACAAGAAATTGAGTTGAAAGTATTAAGCAAAGGAAACAAATAAAGAAACGATAACAGTTGACAGTTAACAATTAATAATTAATGAGACTAAAAAGTAAAAAAGGTTCATAAATAAAAGTTTTTTCATCATGGAGGCGTGAAGAAGTGAAGAACAATCTCTTCAACTATCAAAGTGCAATAAAAAAATCATTCAAACATAATACTACCTCCGGTTCTTAATATAAGACTCCGTTTGACTTTTTATTTGGTCCTAATTATAAGACCCCAATCCATTTTGTCTCTCATATTTATGTATTTTTTTCCAAAATAGTCCTTCTAATAATGATAGTTTTAGCCAATACACTTAATTAGCAAGGATATTTTAGGAATGATAACACTTATTTATTACAAATAACTAATTTAACTTACTTCCTTAATCTCCTCAAATTAGTCAACTGGGTCTTATAATTAGGACCGGAGGTAGTATTACTTTCGATTCTTAATATAAGATCTTATTTGATTTTTATTTTAGTCCTAAATATAAAATCTCAATCTACTTTGTCTCTCATATTTATATATTTTTTTCCAAGATAATCCTTCTAACAATAGTAATTCTAACTAATACGCTTGATTAGTAAAGATATTTTAGGAAAGACAACACCTATTTATTACAAAAACTAACTTAACTTCTTTTCTTAATTTCTTTAAATTAGTCAACTGGTTCTTACAATTAGGACCGGAGGCAGTATAAACCAAGAAAGCTTGTTATAAAAAATTTCTCATTACAAAATTTATTACTCTTTTGATCTTTAATATAAGATATATTTAACTAATTTGATTAGATTAAAAAAGTTAGATAAGTTAGTTAATTATAAGAAATATAACATGTTTTTCCTAAAACACCATAATCATCTTTCTTAATATCCTCATTTCCTCACTTACTTAATTATGATTGAGGTCTGAGGGAGTATTCATAGAAGTAATTTAAAAAAAATTGATAAATATAATAAATAGGTCTTATATTTAATACCAAAATTAACTTAACAATTAGGTCATATATTAAAGACCGAAAGAATATCTAAAAGTACTTAAAATTTATTTAAGTACAAGGTGCAACTTATTTTTAGTAAGACTGTGTGTAATCTATTTTTAATTATATGTAAACCGAAGAAAAGTTGTAATCATGTTTGAAGATAGGTTGCGTCTACTTAAAGGCACGAGTCCTCAGATATCTTGGTCCTTCCAAATTAAATCCTCATGAATTTATCATGAAATAAATATTTTTCAGCCATGTTTAAAAAAAAAAAATCATTTTCATGGAGATGTAATCACAATCGCTGATTGACCCTAATTTTGTACAGATGTTGGATGGAGTAACCGAGTGGACAATGATAATTGAACGACCTGTGGTGAAATGAAAGCCACAGAGTCGCATATCTGATCACAAAATGTGGTGGTATAACGATTATGTTTTCAACATGATATGCGCTTTACAACAATCTCTGATTTTTAATATAAGAGTTAGTTAACTAATTTGAGTAGATTAAATAAACTAATTAAGTTAGTTATTTGTAATAAAATATGTACTCCTCCGGTCCTTAATATAAGACCCATTTAACTAATTTGATTAGATTAAGGAAGTTGGGTAAGTTAGTTAATTATAAGAAAAATGACACATTTTTCCTAAAACACCACAATCATCTTTCTTAATACCCTCTCTCCCTCTTCTACTTGATTATAGTTGAGGGAGTATCCATGGGGGTAATTTAGAGAAAGTTAATAAATATGAGAAATGGGTCTTATATTTAGGACCAAAACCAACTCAAGAATTGGGTCCTATATTAAGGACCGGAGGAGTATTATTTTTTCTAAAATATCCTTACTAATCAAGTGTATTGGTTAGAACTATCATTACTACAAAGACTATACTAAAAATAATAGATAAATATGAGAGACAAAATATATTGAGGTCTTATATTTAGAACCAAAATAAAAATCAAATAACTTAACAAAAATAATTTAGATTAAAAATAATAATTTTTCTTTTTTTAAATTAAATCCTTATTGTTTGTTTAATTTTGATGGGAGTCCTTCCGCTATAAAAGCTTAGGGGTGCACGTGGTCTTCTCTCACTCCCTCAATCTCCTTTAAACCAACACTGTTATTATGCGTGTCTCTTCCATCACCAATGTCGTTATCATTGGTGCTGCTGAGAAGGAGTGGGGACATAATAAATGAGCATTTAGCGGCAACAGAAGGAATGGCAAACTTGAACAAGCAATAAGAACAAATAAAAAGAAAGAAGAGTTATTACCAAAAAAAGAAAAAAGAAAAAGAAAGAGGAGTTACCTCTAATTAAATCTAAAAATGTTCAAATCTAACTCAGGAGTTTAGATACCTTCAAAAACATTTTTTAAAAGTATTTTTATACAAATCGAGATAAAATTTCTCACATATACTTATTTTGTATAGTGTAAAATTACTTTTAAAATCATGATGTTGTTTTCATCCAAACACTTTCTCAATATTAATAAAAAAACTGTATAAAAAAGTTATTTTCTTTATATTTTAAAATTTTCATATTATATCTATATTTATATTATTTTTCATTTTTAATAAAAAGAGCTCAAGTGCGTGAAAAAAGCAAAGAGAGTCTAGCAAAAAGAAATATTTAATAAAAAAAGTATTGTGCATTCAACTTATAAATAAATATATCAAACCATTTTACAAACTACGCTTTTTAACGTTGGTACCCGTTGTGAGGGAGGCTACTGAGGTTGAGGATTGTCGTAGTGGTATACGGTAATATATGTTGAATTTCCTAAGTTTGATTATAATAATAAAAATTGTGAGAAGTGTTTTGTCGGCTGCTTAAGATAATTATAATGGCCTTTGCCCAAAAAAAAAAAGATAATTAAAATGGAAAATATTTGGAAGCAAAGGCTCAAAGGATCCTTAACCTGGGAAGTTTTTATTGACAATTTAGTCGTAATTATCGTTGAAACTTTTGAATCTGAATCTCAAAGGCTTTCAAAGTCAAAATTGATTTCTAGATTTAAATTCTTGTTAGGAATTTTTTAAGTTTTTTTAAAGGTTTAGATGGCATATACCTTAAACTTCATTTGACGAGGGCCCAAGATTGTGCGACTATACAAATAAATCTGAGTGGAAATGTTGTTTGTCAAATTCTTATTTGAATAACACAAATCTTTATCTAATTTGAATGCATCAAGGTTTCAAATGTAACCATTTTCCAAGGTCAAAAAAAAAAAAATGTAACCATTTGCATCTTGGATGTTAAATTCTCAGAAGCATGATTGCCCGACTAGTGCATAGTATCAAATATGATAGATAAATGCTTTAGTGCCTCGGTGATAATACCAGCTAGAGTTAATCTAATTAGTAAAAAGTCAACTTATAACTTACAAAGCTGTGAGCTCGAATCACGGTACTGATATGAGAATTTTGTCAGTGAAAAATTTGTAAGTACCTTTGTAAGAGTTCTTTGAACTTAAAAATATGTTTTGGCCTTGATGAACGGCAAAATCCAACGTACCTAAATCTTTTTGTAAAAAAAATAGTATGCCTAGTATACCATTCTGTTGTAGATAGATAAATCTTATTCTAGATTATCTTTTGATCTTGAAATTATATAATAATGAAACAAAAACCCTAATTACCATTTTTATATCTGGTTTACTTTGTAAATTTCACTAAGCACGCCTTATATATTGTTTTTGTGCAACCTTCCAGCAACTAAGAGATCCATTCAAAGAACATGGTAGGACTCATACTACTTGTTGGGTTTGGGAAACCATTCCAAATTTGTAATTTGGGCTCTGATTGTGAATTTAATGCAAATCTCTAAATCGACGATGTTTTAATACCACTTATCAAAATATTAAAACTTAGTTTTACCGTTCTGTCTTCATTGTTTCTTTTTACTTTTGCTTTACGTTAGTTTTCATTCCATTTTCTTATTTTATCATGAAATAAAGAAAAAACACCCAAAACATTTGAGCTTCGTCCTCTGATTTGTAAATTTTTTAAAATAACTAATCAAGATATTTTAAAGATAACATTAGTAATTACTAGTTAATTAAGCATGCGCCCCTCATTTAAGTCTAGAAGCCATGTAAACCCTTTATCACACACTTATTTTTTTCCTTCTTTTGTAAATCCTAATCCTAATGGTCATCTAATAGTTAATTCCAAAACACCAACTTTTGCAAATGACCATTAATGTCTCCCACTCATATTAGTTTTCTCTCTTGGTTTAGTCATTAACTAACTTTTACCTAAACTTCAGTTTGCAGAATACAATTAGAATAGAAGTCACCTTTGTAAATATTAATCCAAACTAAGTTCATGAAACTCAACTATGATATTAAAGCTGAATACATTGACATGAACAGGATTTTCTCACCTTGTCAGCTACATCCTTTTTCAACTGACTAATGATAATACAGAGGAAAGTAAATAAATCCGTCAGCTACCTAACAAATAATTTTGAGCCTACAGGAAAAAATATATATAAAATGGCGCCACCTCCATCATCATTGTATATTAATTCTCGTGGAAGCCCCGGGAAATAATTATCCACTATAAATATAATTCATACCTAAGGGTACACAATCTAATCAAAGGATCAAGTAACTTGCCTTCGATGAGAGAAGCATGATAAAAGCGAACTTTCATGCATAGATTCGCTTCCTTTTCAGCAGCGCAGGAAACATGGAGACAAAACCAATAAGGAAGAGCACTGACAATGTCTTAAAGTCATATAGATCCTTCACTGATTTTAGATCCCCAAGAGCAAGGCCGGCCTAAATCAAGCAACAAGAAAGACGCTATGAGCCGAGGGAAAGAAATGCAGAAGAATAACTTGTAGATGCAGAAAAAGGTTATTATAGAATAATGGAGACAATCTATTTAGCCTCTTTATGTGAAAAATTTGAAGACTTCTTTTTTATTTTATGGTGAAATAAGTGAGACAAATTGGTTGACAAGGACCAAACAATAAAGAAGACAATTATAATAGCTGTGTTAGCAGCTTCTTGAACCAGGCAAGTTCGTCATATCCCTTCTAGAACTTGTTTAATGTAAAGGAAGAGCCTTTTTCCATCCCAACTAAGTAGTTTCTATATATCCATGCTTAATAAATGAAGACCCCTCTTTTAAATGTAAACACAGTAAAAATCCTATGGCAGGATTTCTTAAATCTATCTGACACAGCAAAATCCTATGGCAGGGTTTCTTAAATCTATCTGACCATAAGAGGTCAACACTCAAAACACAACCTTAGCTCTTGGAAGCAGTACATCAGAATCATCCAACGAGAACAACAGATGAAACTGTAGAATTAAGCTTGCTCCTTACATTATCCTTAAAGGGGAACTTGTCCGTTTCATAAATTGCAATTGATAAGAAATAGAACTTCAATCTGATACAAGAGTGAAGGCCAAAGGAAAAGCTTATGTTCTGGACAATAAGAAACTGGGAGCACATGAAATGACAGAAAGATGTTCTAATTAGTCTCCCTTAGAAGAACTCTTAATAGAGTCTCACCATCAAAACCGCCTAAAAATTAAAGTTGAAATTATTTTAGAAGGACTTTTTTAAATCCCTCTGCCGCACCACAACAAAATAAATAAATAAATAAATAAAAACACTTCCCCACTTCGGGCAACAACAGGATATTGGCCATATTGGCCAAAAAAGGTTAACTTCAAAATAGCAGGATACCATCAAGCAAAGCTATTTAATCTCACGAGAAGTTCCTGAATCCTGATGCAGAAGTCAAAAGAGCAACCACAAAGAAAATAAATATAATCAAAGCATAAACTACTTTATGGGATTAAGGCATAAAATATAACAATCTGAGAAAGATAACATGGAGTTCGGGGAAAAAACGATAAATAATGTGGAGAACTGACTGCGCTGTATGATAAATGTAAGATGGGTAGAAGAGCCTTACTCTGACAGTAATATAAGCGGCCGGAATAAGACCAATCAGTGTCGCCGAAAAGAAGACTTGAAATGGTATATCAACAATTGGAGATGCCAAATTGATGAAAAGGTTTGGCAGAGTTGGGGTTATCCTCAGAAAAAGCATGTAATTCAGGAGCTTTTCCCTACGCTTTGATATCTGATTGAAGAAAAGAAAATCAGGTTAACATTGCAGTCACCATGATTGTCCAATGGTTTGTCTGGTCAAACAAAATTAAAGAATAAGATAAGCAAAGCACACCTCAGCTTGGAAAAATCTTAATTTCTCCGGCCACAACCAAGAAACTAAAGGCCTCCCAATTAACTTCGACAAAAAGAAGCAGGATGATGCTCCAGCAGTGGCATTAAAAACAACTAATAAGAGCCCTTGAAAAACTCCAAAGAGGGCTCCAGCTAACAAGGACATGAAAATTGTTCCAGGAATCATAAATGTCTGCATGAAAATGTAGGTGGAACAGTAACCAAGAATGAATTGAGCACGGTGATTTTCTGCATATGCTGCAAAATTATCTCTGTAGAAAAATATTGTTAAGAATAAAGAATGTAATATGGGGTAATGAACATACATTAATGAAGTCGAGGTTAAACTTAAACCATCAAGCAACTATAAATTCCCACTCAAATTTTGACAAATTCTTATGGTCCAGTGACCTCGTTTATTTCAAACACAAAAGCAGTTTTAAAGAAAACGAAAAAGAGATAATAATTTAATCATTTATCAAAATGTTCCTTCACCATATGTCATCGGAAGCCCAGCAAAAGCTTTGCCACTAGTCCACTCTGTGCCTAATTGGTTTCTCAAGTGAAGACGTAGACTTGTGCGTTAGTTAAATAAAACAATAAAATTTTGTCCCTCAAATTCACCCAAGGCTGTTACACGGATCTGTAAACCAAAAAGAATATCAACGTAATATTTACTATCTTCCCTTCCTGACTTCCTCTGTTTATAAAAGTTTTACAACCCCAGAAGAATGCTTATCTTGTAAGCCTCCGTAAAATTAATAATAGTGACATTAAGTGACCAATCAAGTATTCTATTACAGCCGAACTCGGAAGAATGCACAGAAAGTTTCAGGAAATGACATTAATTTCACTTTTCATGTCCATAATTGGATTCATCTATAAAAGCCAGAAAGGGACCAATAACACAAACCTCGGTAACGCTAAAAAATAACCGATAACTATAGAATCGTTCCATGAAACGTACTTGAGGTCGCGAATATCTGAAATTGTGCGCGGCAGCTTAATCTTCCCGTACTCCGCAGCTGGCATTGTCAAGTAAATGCAAAACAAACCGGTGGAGAAAATGAAGAACACGCCGAGAGCAGCAGCGAGTTCCCAACTATTCAATGGAGACCTCTCCAACTTAGGCTTCTTGCCGGACGGCGAATCGTCGTCCCCGGCGGTCTCTTCATCCCGCAACAACCTACCAGTATCGCCTATCAGACTCCTCTGCGCCGCCATGAGTAGCACGGATTAGTGGTATGAACTACAAATCCAGAAATGTCCAGCAATCATAGCAGGAAAGTGCTATCGTATTTTGAAGTGTAAAACAGAGACAGAACTGCGATGCTTCAACGAAGGAGTGGTTGGAGAATCACACCAAATAGTCAAATGATGCTGATCAGATAAAATTGCGTGGATCAGTGGGTATGAAACGAATGAAATGTACTTGAAAAAAATTGACGATTTGAAGGTGAGGGACCTCAGAACTTTAGCTTTGAAGGGCGATGAGAGATAGAGGGTCCTCAAGTAGCAGTAACACGTTTCGCTTGAGGAGGAGGAAGGAACGACTGACAAGCACGGAAGACAGTGAAAGAGGAAAGTGAGTAGGAAGGCATTTGAGGGGTAAGTAAGCTTCACCTTCTCTTTTTTTTTTGGGGGGGGGGGGAGTGATTTTTTTTTTTTCAATTTTAGTTTTACAAATTTATGTTGGTTTTTCTTTAAAAAATATTTTGGTTTAAAAAAAATTACAAATAAAGACTCCTTAATATATAAAATTATTATTTGAGACTTTTAATTTGAAAAATTACAAATAAGGATCCGGTCTCACTTTTGTAAATATGAAATATTAGTGAAATGTCTAAAATATCTCTCAGTCAAATAACAAGTTAACTATGGGAAATGATAAATTCACTTTAGCAAATGACAACTTCACTAGACAAAATCACAATTTGGTTGAGGGTATACCAAATGACTAGTTGACTATGGGAAATGATAAGTTCACTTTAGCGAATGATAATTTTAGTAGATCAAATCACAATTTGACTAAGAGGCATTTCAGACATTTCATTCAAATTTCATATTTGTAAAAGTGGAACTCGATCCTTATTCGCTATTTTTCAAATTTAGAGTCTCAAATCACAATTTTACGTATTAAGGAGTTTTTATTTACAATTTTTCCTTTACCATTTTATTTAGATTAGATTAGATACGCGCTCTGGATAACTTTTATTATGATATTTTATATATTTTTAGAATATTTCTATACAGATTACTGTATGCTTTAAATAAAAATTGTACTACCATATTTAACTTAATACAAGAGTTTATTTGATTTTTATTTTGGTTCTAAATATAAAACCCTAATTTACTTTGTCTCTTATATTTATAAAAAAAATTTCTAAGTTAGTCCTTCTAATAATGATAATTCTAGCCAATACACTTTATTAGAAATAATATTTTAAGAAAGACAACACCTATTTATTACAAATAACTAATTTAACTAATTTTCTTAATCTATTCAATTTAGTCAACTAGTTCTTATATTACCTCCTATCCTAAATATAAGAGCTCTCATTATTAGAAGGACTACTATCATTAGAAGGACTACATTGGGAAAAAAATGTATAAATATGAGAAACAAAGTGGATTGGGGTCTTATGTTTAGAACCAAAATAAAAGTCAAACAAGATCTTATACCACCTCATGTCCTTAATATAAAAGCTTGTTTGACTTTTATTTTGTTCTTAAATATAAGACTCTAATCCATTTTGTCTCTCATATTTATGAATTCTTTTTCTAAGTTAGTCCTTCTAATAATAGTAGTTCTAGCCAATACACTTCATTGAAGAATATTTTAAGAAAGATAACACTTATTTATTACAAATAACTAACTTAACTAGTTTTTTTAATTTATCCAAATTAGTTAACTAGTTCTTATATTACCTCCGGATAAGACTTATCATTATTAGAAGGACTACATTAAAAAACTGTATAAATATGAGAGAGAAAATAGATTGGGGTCTTATATTTAGAACTGAAATTAAAGTTAAATAGGATCTTATACTACCTCTTGCCTTTAAATAGAAGATTTTGTTTGACTTTTATTTCGGTCCTAATTGTAAAACCCTAATCTGTTTTGTATCTCATATTTATGTATTTTTTTCTTAAGGTAATTCTTCTAATAATGGTAGTTTTAGCCAATACACTTGATTAGTAAGAATATTTTAAGAAAAACAACACCTATTTATTATAAATAACTAACTTAATTTTTTTCTTAATTTGTTAAATTCAGTCCATTAGTTTTTATATTTAGGATAAGTTTTTATATTTAGGATATGTAGTGTCGGGGACAGGAGGTAGTATATTCACATAATTAAACGATTTTCTTTTTTTGTTCCATCATTTTTTCCGCCAACAAGAGATTGGGGTGTTTACAGGTAGTAAGTGGTAACAACCCGTATGGCGGGGTCACTTCACATTGGAGGTGTGGAAATAATCTTGGGCCAACTCGACCCAACAATGCCCCCCGAAATTGGGCTTTCAACACTTTCATTTTAGCCCATCATTTTATTTTGGGGGTCAACAGTTGGCCCAACAACACGTGCAATTGGGCTGTCAACACTCTCTAATCCCTCATGTGTTTTTTTGGGCGACAATCCCTCATTTTATGTTGGGCCACATAATCAGAAGATGCAAAAGGATTTTTAAAAACAAGAAGGAAGGGAGTTACTAGGTGGCCCAATTATAAACTTCCGGTTTCATCGGAAGTCGGCAACTCGTTCCTTTACTCGTCAGACACGTCGAAATCCATTCGCCGGCGGCAGCGCAGTGCAGGGACGCATCGACTCTTAAGGAGTTCAGGTACCGTCTTCTGGGTCTTCTCCTACTTTACAAATTGGTATTTTATTGGTTCTGCTTTACAAATTGGTAGTTTATTTGTTATGCCGGCTTTCGTGGGAGAAAATTCCGTGGCTAATATTTAATAAGAATTGAAGCATGACTGAGTTCAAGATGTTGCGTTGATCTAATTATGTGGGCTTGACACTGGAAGTATAAACGTTTATTGAATTTTTATATATGTCATTTGCTGCAATATGCTATTGATGATAATGTATTTGAAGTGAAGGGAGCCATTCACAGGCTAGTTATATATTAGAGGCATAAGTAGCCTGCATATCAGATAGAATAATGTTCATAGATACAGCCAATAAGAGGAACATCAAAATTGATAATACTGTGTTTGAATAGAGCATTATTCATCATTGGATTGCTACTGTGAATTTCTTAAGTTGAAAAATTAAAATCAATTTGGTTTCTTTTTATTATGCATGATAAATAGGAAGCAAAGGGTCAAATACATTAGGGAAGGAACCTATGAATCACAAGTTTCATGAAAAATCCATCCATCTTTGGTTCCCTGTGCCTTGAAAAATCCATCCAGGTCGCTCTTCCCCCATCATATGAGACCTAGCACCTTCTTCCCTCGTTTGAAAAGAAGTTCATATCGCCTGAGAAAAAAACCTTGTGAGATCCGTTCATCCACAATCTCTACCGTTCATCTTTCTCCTTATTGTTGTGAATTTTCAATGTCATCATCTTTTAAATATCCAAATTTTAATTATCATGGTATGAAGCCAAATATGAATACATTTATGTAAGTTATTTTGATGTTTCTCCCCTTCTTTATGCCTTTTGAGTTATTTGGGAAGGTTGATTTATCTATACTGTCAGTTTTTGAACCTGGAAGCCAGAACTTTGTCAGTACCATGAATATCATGTGAGCAGCATTTTCCACTTTTATGTATTTTTGTGCATCTTGTCTCTGGATCCTTCAATTGTTTCTGCAAAATGAACTGAATTTTGGAGCTAACTTAGTTTCTGTTACTCACATGTATAAGTATATTAAATTTTCTCCATGAATACATAATTTTTACAACTGAGTATCATTTGATTGTTTCTTTTTAAAATTAAAATTTGATGAAGAACTTGAAAATATGGAGCTGAACTTCGACTGGATAAACTTTTTGTCCGTGGATAATGTTTGTTCAGCCTACCAAATGAAAAAGCAATCTCTTGTGACTTTCAAGAAATGCACTTTAACTTTTTTATTTTTTGCAAATTTTGATTGTCATACTGTAATATTGTAATGGCCGAATTGGTCGTAATGATTCATATGTTTAGGACCACTCTTGATGCAATTTAGTTACATGCTCAAGGTATAGCTTTTCTTAAGTTTTGGGAATCTTCATCTTCATCTTCATCTTCATCTTCAATACATATAAAAGCTGGAAAAGTGAACAGTGTGGCGTCCTTCTGCATGCTCCATGCAGTGTGTGAGGCCTGATATCAAGTTACATGTAGTGATAGATATCAAATTTTGTTGTTTTTGAATCTTAAAGAATTGAGTTTTTATCCTTCAATCTAGAAATACTGGTGAAGTTTTATTCGCATTTTATAATCTTCTCCTTCACAGGCAGACACTTGCAGTCTACGGAAGTACAAGAGCTAATGGAAGAATATAGCAAAAGCAGCGTGAAGAAGGCAAAACTGCAATCAATGCTCACTACCCTGCTAGAAGATCCCATACTTGCTGATGTCCCAAAGAAGCCAACGTTGGCTGAAGTGGACACTCTCATCAACCTTGAGTTGGGTAGTGCCATGCGCATTGCTGTTCTCAAACTAGATGGAACATCATTTGGTAATACTTTTCTTTCCTCCCACACCTTGTCTTTTCTGGGAGTCTACAGACTCTGCTTTTTCACTTTGTTTCCCTGCAAAATGAATGGGGAATGGGAAAGAGTTAATGCTCCATTGAGCTGAATCTTTTGAATTTGGTGGTGAAGATGTGGCAGTGATGGACTCAGCTACAGTCAAGGATTTGAAACTTGCGATTAAGAAGAAAGTAAATGACATGGAACAATCCAAGATGGGTCACCGCCATATATCTTGGTGAGATAGAGGTTCTTTTCCTATACTTCTAGAGGCAATGTTGGAAATTTGTTTGAACATTAAATTTTTGGATAACTCCATATTCCAAAATGTGTATTCTTCTGGTTACTTAAGAAAAGAAAATGAGAGTAAAATGTTGACATTGTTTTTCATTTCTTGTTCCCTGTAAAAATGATCAAATCGCAGGAAGCACGTCTGGGCAAATTATTGTCTGTCATATCATAATGAAAAGCTCCTTGATGATCGGTCTTTGCTTCAGAATTTTGGTATTCGAAATAATTCTCAGGTTTGCCTCATAAACTTTAAGAACTTTTACTTACAACTTCACTTCCTTGTGGCATTCTCTTCTTTAGTACATTCAAACTTCTGATTTCATTAAAGTCATGAAAGAATAAATATGCTCATGCTCATGTTCTTGAGCACAAAAAGAATTATGAAAATTTCATATATAATTTGTGTCTTGAAAAACTGTTTTTGATTTATTTACATGTCACATTCTGTTAGCAAATAGGGGGCGTGCTGTTTTAAATAGTTGTGTTTACTGAAGTGCATACTGATTCAGCCCAACAACCACCATCATTTTATGGGGTTGCTGTAATCAGTATTCGGCTGGTATGCTGGTTTCATTTCTTCACTTTTTCTTCCTTTTATAACGTTGGTTTTGTTAAATGTTTTTTTTTATAGATATTCTGTTTGCAACTTTTGGTTGTAAATTTGAATATTTTTAATTCATTTAAGCTACTTATCTTTTGTTTGTTCGTATTGAATAATGTTATATGTCTTGAAGAAATAGAGTGGAGCAGTCTTGTAACAAGTTAGTGGTATCTTGTGCTCATACAGGTACATTTTGTACCCTATGTCATGACAAAAGAATCTCAGAGACACTCGAAGAGGCGAAAACATCGTTTCTTTCATGGCCTTAATAAGCTTTCATGATCAAGCAATTGTATGTTCTGGAATCTCTGTAGTGATTTTGTTGGTTATGGGACTTGAGAGTTTCATATCAGGATTCCTTATGCGAAATTTAGGAATGTGGGATTTGTACACCCTTTGGTTCTTGAATCTCATGAACTAGCTTTTGGGGTTTGTTTCCCTAGTGTTGATATTTGGCTCTATCTTACTAACACTAGCAAGATGAAGATTATTTGGCGTCACAGCTTCGATATGTTCACTGTGCTTTCAACTTGCAACCTCATGGCCTTGCGAGACTTGTAGCTGTGATACTCGGTGTTTCACAAAGTCGCGTTCATAAAGGTAAATGGAAATTTTATCCCCCGGCTTGAACTATGCTGATGCCGGTGCTGTGTTTAGATGACATGTCCGGAGATCTTCTTTGAAGCCTGAGCAACCATTGGCTACGAGCAAGTGTTTGCTTTCATGAGTTTGACCTGATAAGACAAAAAGCTCAACCGTGAAGTCCAACTTTCAACGTTGATGATTCTTTAGGCCTAAAGTCTAAAAATGTAATTTTCCCTGTCAGGTTCCACTATCTTTACCAGATTTAGTCGTCCAACACTGTTTGGGATATGGTGTGGTTCTTTTGCTTTCGACGTTTAACTGTTACTTTGACATGAATTCCATGCCTTTTCGAATATTTAGCTCTCAAAATGTTAAAATTCTAATTAAATTTCTGTGTCCATTGGGGAGTCCCCTTGTTTATATGGACGCAGTTAGGAGAAGCGTTTGATTTGCAGGATGAATTTCATTGGTTTATAGTTTATGCGGGCGCCATATTGTGTGTTCAATGCCTCTGGATTGCTGTTCTTTATATTATTCCTGACACGTGAATTAATGATTGGACTTTGCCAGCTTCATGCTGGGATTTCAAAGCATAATCATGCTTCCAGTTCTTAATATAAAAGCTAGTTGACTAATTTGAATAGATTAGAGAAGTTTGTTAAGTTAGTTATTTGTAATAAATAGGTACTCTTCCGATTCTTAATATAGAATCTAATTCTAGAGTTGGTTTTGGTTCTAAATATAAGATACATTTATTATATTTATCAATTTTCTCTAAATTACCTCTATGGATACTCTTTCAACCATAATCAAGTAGAAGAGAGAGATGAGATATTAAGAAAGGTGACTATGGTGTTTTAGGAAAAATGTATTACTTTTCTTATAATTAACTAACTTATCTAACTTCCTTAATATAATCAAATTAGTTAAATGGGTTTTATATTAAGAATCGGAGGAGTATTATCTTCTCTAGAATATCTTTACTAATCATGTGTATTAACTAAAACTATTATTTCATGAAATCTTTAATACGTGTAACTACTACAAGGATTATTTAAAAAATAAATAAATAAATATGAGACAAAGTGAATTAAGATCTTATATTTAGGATTAAATTTAACGTTAAACTAGTTTTTATATTTAAGGACTGAAAATAGTAATACAGGGTTTTAGACTGCAGAAAGTTTTACGTACGCTGTCAAATTTTCTCCTGATTAGAAGTGATAAGTGGATTATGTTGTCATGTAGTCGCTGAAAAAACACTAACTTCTCTTGTATCCCAACTCCTTGATCGGCATATCATAGCACATTGAAGCCATGCTATTTACTTTACTGTCACAAAGTCACAAGAAAATGGATATGAACTTCTAAATTAATTTAATGCAATGGCATAACATTTAATTTTAGAATCGACTATGCTGGTTAAAAAAAAAAATTAGAATCGACTAAATTTTCCTAACCCCGTCCAATCAAAGACAAGAGTAAAAGTGTTTATTATTTTATTTTTTTTATTTTTTTTTGCTAAAACATAGATATCCTCCTATTGGAGGCAATTCTATTCGATGTACTGTCGGGTACTAAATGTGAGCACCTCTCTCAACCGGGATTTCAAATCTTGATTCATCACATTGTGAGGGACTAACCCTTTCTGCTAGACTCAATTTCTATTGGTTTATTATTTTAATTTTATGTATTTGGTTGTATTGAGAAAGTGTTCCCCAGGCCACAGCTTCATAACATGAGGTCCACGGCTTTTTTTGGGTCACAACTCCACAGCCCTTTTCTTTTTTTCCACACTTAATTTAGGCTCGAGCTCACTATCATTATGTTAAAACCATTTCTATCATTTAAATAATATGCAAATTTGTTATTATTTTCGGCACTTTATCTTATTATAATTCATATTCTGAAAAATTGTGATAATCCCTATGAAAATGCATTTATACTGAAATTTAATTGAAGCATGTATAGACTATAGAAGTGATTAAATCTAGTCCAGAATTGGCGTTAATTATATCAAACTGTGCGTGGATCAGGTTTACCAACTGAATTAAAAAAAAATACTACTTCCTATCTGTCTTAAATACAATGTTTATTTTTGACCAGCAGTCTTAAATATAATATTTAGCTGGCAATGCAAATTACAAATCAAATATTATATTTAGAATATGCGATAATATGTGTAAGCAAATACAGAACATAAGCCAGTATTGGTTAGCCCTAGAATATACTGCCTTCGATTCCTAAGATAGAAGCTAGTCGAAGTAAAGAATTTAATCCTAAATATCTCGATTTACTTTTTTTTTAGTATTTATAATTTTATTTCTAAACTCTCCTCAGTAGTTGCACGTATTATACGGTTTTCATCAAGAGTTAATTTTAATGCAAATAATTAAATGAAGCATTTTAGAATTATTAACACATGTTTTTTTTAAATAACTAATTTTTTTAATATTTACAAATTAATTGTTTAACTCTTAAATTAATAATAGAAAGAAATAATGTGATTAAATTATGAAAGCCCTCCAAAGGAACAATATCTGTCTCAAGTTTTTTTTTTGTTGATATTATTATCTCGCTAATTCGATTCAGGGTTTATGGCTTCCCCTTTCTACAAAAGTGTCTCCCTTAAAATTCAAACTCAAGATTCAAAGAGCTCTAGTAAGGCTTTACACTACTAGACCAACTCTTTGTTGGTATATTTGCCTCAAGTTATTATTACGTATTATCTCTGGTTCTAATTATATGATCTTATTTATAATTTACAAAAGAGATCTTATAAATAAGAACGGAAATGGTAATACAAAGGAGATTGGGAGCAAGAGCTAGCAGACAAAAGGTATAATCGCCCACAGGTAATCATCTATCCATCACCTGTATATTCTTCCTTCAGATCCGTTCATTTAAACCCAAAAAAAAAAGAAAAGGAAAGATAGAACAAAACAAAACAAAAAGAAGTGCAACAACTTGGGTTGCGATAGAAGACATGTCGTTATCATGGTTACCACGTTAATTAATTAAGTTTTGAAACTTCTCTCTCTCCTCTTTCTTCTAGAAGGTTAGCTTTGTTAATTAAGAAAGCGCACATATTATGGATATATGATACTATATGCACAGTGAATTCAAAAGCTATTTGAAAATATAATTATAAAATAATTGTAGTCCCACATAACTGTGGGCGGGAATATCCGATTTATTTAATACTTAATTAATGCTAGTGTTAACTAAGTACTAGTAGCATATTACTCATATGATCCTTAATGTAATATCTATTTAACTAATTTGATTAGATTAAAAAAGTTAGATAAGTTAATTAATTATAAAAATATGACATGTTTTTCCTAAAATATCATGAACATCTTTTTTAATATCCTCCTTCCATATCCTACTTGATCATGGTTGATGGAGTATCAATATGATTAAGTTAAGACAAACTGATAGATGTGATAAATAGGTCTTATATTTAGGATTAAGATCAACTCAATAATTAGGTCCTATATTAAGGACAGAAAGAGTACTATTTTTTTATTTGGTCAATAATCTTTCATAAAACTTAACACAACATTTAAAGCATACTTTTAAAATATTGATATACTCTTTGATTAATGGTTTTTTTTCATCGTTGCTCTCCCCCTAATGAATCACACCAATCAAAGGATAAAGAATTCTGAAAAGTTCTAAATTTTTTTTTTACATTTTAATAATTTGTAATCTTAGAATAACTGTGAGGAGGGGTTATTTCAAACGATATATAAAAAAAGATATACGGGTGTCATTTATATAACATCACATATATATCTACCAAAACAAAACTTGTTTCTTTGTGATAATCTCTCTGCTGTATCTTAAAAGAATTATATTCCTTTTTTATTCTTTGATATCAAAGAGTATGTGTGTGTCCTCTTTTATAACAGTAGAGATTAATCTTCTTTAGATCAGAAATCAAACCCTACTCGAACCATCTTTTTAGGATTATATTAGAACCCTAGCTATTTATATTATAATTAAAAACATAAATATATTTATATGTTGGACGAAGCAGACCAACCTGGAAGCAGTCCCACAAACCGCCCCAAAAGGGTTTAAAAAAAGAGGCTAAACTTGCTTGATCTGCACTATTTCTTGTTGGATGAAGCAACCCCACCGCACCAAAAATAATAGCGAAATTGCAATATATATTATTATTACTACTACTATCGTATAACAGTAGGGTCCATATATATATATATATATATATATTCATCATCATCATCATATCATCTCCATCATCATCATTATCATCTGCAAGCGATGGCCTTCCAATAGTTTCTTTGCTGCGGCTGCGTTCCCATCAATCTATTGGCTAATAACAATGCATATCCATTCCCCTTGTTCTGTTTCTATCAAAAAATACAGAGAGACGCTCCCGTTGCATATATATATATATATATAGAGAGAGAGAGAGACACACACACACACACACACACACAGAACCAAAAAAGAAAAGAAGGTGAAAAATCAAAGATTCTCCTTAAAGGACTTAGCTGCTAATTAATTAGTTAGGCTAATGTTTTGTCTTTACCTATCTCAAACTTTTTGTTGTAATTCTGTACAGTAAGACTCACGTAAAGGACCTGCCTCTTTCCCTTTAAATTTTTTACTTCATCATGACTTGTATGTAATAGACCTCTATATATATATATATATATATATATATATATCGTGATCAACTAGTTTTTTTTTTTTTGTCAAAATACTGCATAAGTGGTCCAACTTGATTTCTCTTTTTTGAGGCTGGAAGATTAAGTGTATTGTTTGAACTCTAATTATCATTGGAAAACAATCTTATCACTAAAATTTTCGCAACAAGCAATTTGGCATGTAGCTGTTGTCATTTTCTACGTCAAAATTTGTCACCACATACTACTCACTTAAAATTCACATCCAAATTGATCAAAATGCATACACACACACACACACACCCTCATTTAGAATTGGAAATGCAATATAGAATATTTGACTTCAATATTTTAATGACGCTATTGTTTTGGGTCTGTGCCAATTAATGCTAACCCCATATAGAGATACAATCATATCAATTGCATTATTTCCGAAAGTGATATTTTTGGTCCAAAATCTCAACAAAGCAAAGCAATAATATTAGTGAAAGTCATATATATATATATATATATATATATATATAAAGGTAATATTTGAGTTGAAGGCATGTTGGTTAATAGTACAAGTTCCTGTTAAAACCCACTCTAGCTTCATATAAGTGGTGCAAAGGCACCTCCTTTGACACAAGTTGGCGACCGTCCATGATAGGGACTAATTACACTAATCATCATCAGTCTCACATCACCTGGACTTAATTGATTATTTGGAGTTTATTTTGCTTAATTAATGTCATTTATCGATCACAATCCAATTAAGTTGACTAAATTAGATTCTGTTTTGTTTTGTTTGAGTTGG